GTTGCTCTATAAATTGTGTAGGCGGCATCGAGGCCACTATTTGTTCCTAGTCTTCTCCCTGCCTCTAGCTCTAGCTAGCTACAGTAGTACCACGGTACCGTGGACCTAGTTACTTCCCTCCGACTAGGACGAGCGACCTGTTTCCGACAAATCCTGAAAATAAATCCAATGAGAACTCATAACGCGCCAGAGAAAGGGAATCCTGATGATCGGCTGCTTCTGGAAGCTGCCGTCTGGTTGGGTGCCATGAAAGGGGAAACGGGCAAGAAGGTTGTAGGTAGCAAAAGATACAACACCAACGAAAATCTCCCCCGCGATGGTGGCATTTGATTTTGATGGATTTGGTGTCGCGAAGAGGGGAATCTCGAGCGGCAGCTAGAACTGAACCGTCGAGTCTTGAAGAGCAAGGTGATTGATTATCCAGTGTCGCCTCCTGACCAACTGATGTGCTTGGGCACATCCACCTCAGTTCCCCTGCCCCTGGGCATCATTCTTGCCACCATGGCGGCCTTCTGCCGCTCCAATGACATGGCACAGATGCTCGAAACTTTGTTTTAGGACCTCAGTGTTTTTTGCTGCAGACTTGAAATCCTTCAGTCCCTTCTCGGCACTCTTCTTGGCCGATTTGCGTGCCCGCTTATCACCCTTGCTCGACTTTCGAAGCGCGTTGACTGCCCAGGAAAGAGTAGGAAGGGCCTCCTGAAGGCAGGATCTGAGGGCTTGGTTATCATGGCGGATTTGTGCCAGGACGGAGTCCTGCCTCTGCAGTTGCTCAGTATGCTTTTGAAGTTGATCTGAGTGGTATTCTAGCTTTTCGGACAATTGGCGAATCTGGGCTGCTTGTTGGAGCTTGATGGATTCACCAGCCGAGAAGACTGCCAGATTGTTGTTGACATTATCCATGGCTCGCTTCAGTTCCCTTCGGGAGGTGTGCTTCCTCCGCATGGAAGAGATCGAGCTCATGGCATCGATTTCATGTACACCCCTGGGTGACGGGCTCATGGGGTTGGGAGGTTTGGCGACCCGGGGCAACTTCATCCTGTCGACTATCATGTCGACAGTTTGCGATTTATTAATGGCAGCTGCATTGGTGTCGATCTCGATACCTTCTCGATGGAAATAGTTGCCCAGACCGTTATTTCTCGCCTTCTCGCCAGGAGCATCGTAGACATGAAAGCTGCCCGCTGGTCGGGGTATAATGGGCTTCGGGAGCTCTTCCTCAGTCTTAACGATTACTTCAGTAATCAGTAACGATGACTCTCGAAAGTTTTCATCAGTAGGTACTGGGATTTCTGGCGAATTTCTGGCCTTGGAAGGTTCCTTTTGGAATACAGCTGCCGCCGTTTTCTGCTTCTTAGATTGAGATGAAAATTCGTTCTCATCTTCGAGGCTGCGCTTCAAGTCTGCTGGTCCTGCGCCGAGCTTTCTCTCCTCCCGTGTTAGCTTTGGGTTGCAACATTTTTCTGCATCCCAACCGGCTTTGGCCAACATACCAACTATTTCATCGGGAAGGACCAGACCGTTCAGGATTCGGACTGCTTCCATCATGGATGTGGGAACTGGCCAGCCTCGATTCTTGGAATGTTCCCAATGGTCCACAAGCTGCCTGTATGGTAGCTGTTGGGAAATGTCGGCGGGCTTCTTGCCTTCCTCATCCCAAGACAAGCTACAAATATATTCGTCGACAGTCTTGCTTGAGTGCCGGAACGCAGGATCACTGTAGGCGATGTTTTTCTGTTTCTTTGCCCATCGTTTCCATCCAACCGCCGTTTTGGCGTTGGTTATCCGGACTGTCTTCGGCGCGACCTTTGCAGCAGCTTTTGACGAGGAAGACACGACGTTCTGGGAAACTGCTCGGGAAGCAGACTTCTGCGTAATTTCGATTCTATTTCGGGGTCTGACGGTCGCGGGTTCTGACTGAGAGCCAGCCGCCTTCGCTGAAATCTGTTCAAGATGCGCAGGTTGCGAAGCCAGCGAGGTCGGTTTCGTGACTGGTGTCAGAGGCGAGCCTACCGTACCAGAACACGGGACAGTGGGTTTGGGCACAGCTACCGCCACCTGTTTCGGTTGGGGAGTCATGCTTGTCTGCAGTTGTGTGCTTGTGGAAAATGAAGCTGAAGTCGAGGTTTTGGGTAAGTGAAGTGATTCGACATCAGGAGATGAGTGCAAAAGCAAAGAACGGGCAGGGTGGATACAGCCCCCCAATGTCGGTTGGAGCTTCCTCTCTTGTGAACCGAGGTACGGGTTACAACACTTGAAAGGGTCCCACCCCTTCTGGGTGAGTAAGTTAACGACATCGGAAGGGAGTACCAGGCCGTTGATAATCCTTAGAGCCTCAAATTCCGCTGCGGACGGAGCTTGGTGTACCTGGACTCGCGATGGGCCAGCAAACATCGAGAGATAGATATTCTGCCTCGTTTTCTCTGCAGGCGCTTGCGTTTTCTCGTCCCATACGACTTTCTCGAGTAGTCGGATGACTGCTTTGCTGGCACTGGTTAGATAGCGGCCCAGCTCTTCGTCAAAGCTGTGAATGTTCGACATGTCTGGCCCGGTTTCGAAGAATCCCGGGTGGATTTGCTGTTTAGCCCAGAGTTTCCACGCCTTCTTTGTCATCTTGGGAATTGATATTGTCATGAAATGCCGTTGTTTTGTCAGAGATTTACGTCGACCTGGTTTGGGAGAGATACCATATTTCACGTATGAAAATATGAGTGATGTAGAGGCTAAAAACAAGATATCAGAGGGGGAAACCCCGTGACCTGGATAATTTGCCCCAAAGTCAAGGAAGGTGCCCTCGGAATAGACTCGTTAGAGAGGCAACTGCCTAGTGACCGCCTGCTTCCGTCAGAACAATAGCGTTCGAGTAAAACAGTCTGAACCAAGCGGCTAGATACACAGGACGAAACATACTTCCTTACTTATATTGTCGGAGGAAACCAGTATTATATCGAGGTCTCTCTAGAACTGTTAAACTGATATGCTGTTAAAACTTTCAGATTTGGGCGGATTCTCGTTAAGACTTGGTTGGTGTTTGTGTTTTTATTACTGGCTGTCTTTATATTCGGAAGCTGTGTTCAGGACAAGTCTGCCTCTGTGTTAGATTTCAGGCACACAGGCTTCACAGGGTGAGTCAATTTCGTCTTGTCCCTTGTCGTATCACTTGTTGTGTGCCACTATTCCTAGTTTCCATTGAGTCTATGCCTGTCTGCTTTGGCCAATGTACCTTCAACTCGAACATAGCTTGACGACTACTCCCTTTTGCCCTTTCGACTTGAGTATGAAATTGGCAAAAAATGCTCTGGCCGAGCGTTCTGTTGCATTTCTCGTCGGGTATTGTTCGTTATTTATTGATTGATATACGTCTTGAATCTATTCCCTCCTCCAGTAGAGCCAAGTTCTGGTTGATTGGTAGTCTCAGAAAGCAGATCTTTGCCCTAGGATGTTGAAACACAGAACAAGATGTACCTTGAAAATATCACTTTGTATCAAGTATTACATCTACTGTATCTTGCAACCTACAGTTATTCTCCCAACAATGATTGTGCCCGTTTGACCATCCATTTCGGTCCAAGGCTAGTTTTTGACCGAATGCTCCCAAGCCCCAGAAGGAATACTACAAGTGCATCATACACCACTTGTGTCGTCGTGTGTCTTATCATGTTACAGTGCTGGATGTTTTCTTGAGTGGGGGAGCGAAGTCTGCACTTAACTCGAACAAGTTTCTACCGCAGCTGATCCAGCTTCTCCCGACCTTGAAGAAATAGAATACTTGCTCTAGGTTAATTCCGTAATCGACGAGTGCCATTGAGTATATCCAGATAAGGTAATCTCCCTTATACTCGTCATCGAGGACAGCCCCCTCCCCTGCTGATCAGGTGGTGAAGGGGCCGGATGGCATCACACATCTTGCCTTTCTGACCCTGCCGCCGAATACCAATGGTGAGTCCAATATCCATCATGTCGACACTGATTACATCGAGAATAACGTTACTGTTGGCCGGATAGGTGGCGTGTTATTCACGATTAAGGTTGCAGTGTCGATCTTTCTCATGTGATCGTTTTGACAGCGCCAGCTAATCAACCAGTCTGGTCTATTTTGCCTAGCAAACAAACTTCACCTATGACACCCCCTTGTCAGCTAGCCTCAGACCCAGCAAGCAAAGCCGTACGCAAGCTCCCGAGCCTTCCTTCTCCCCGACTTATCTTCATCAATCTTGATAATTAGGAGGGCCTTAAAGAAACAACGACTGAAAGCTGATGCATACGGGAGCCATCAGGGAACAGTGACTTATGAATAGCAGATACTCAGGGTACATTCGACCCTCCATCGTAAAACGAAGTCTTCCAGACAAGTTGAACTGGTTTTGAATTCTTGAAACGGTATGGGGGGATTTAACTACCTACGACTTGGGGCATCATGAGCTTTACTTCCACATACAAGCGGGGACCCCGTACGATGCTATGCCATGCCAGCAGCGAACCAACGAACATGGCGACGACGACAAGCAAAACATGCTCCATGGCGCTACACTGAAAAACCAAGCAACGACTCCCGTCTTCCTCTCCTTACCGCCTCTCCAACTGCCAACAGCGCCACGCGACCACGACGGAGTGAAATTCGTGCCCGGGGAACCACCAACCGGTCTCTTACCCTAGCTCCTCTCATATCCAGTTGGCCTCAGGCTGTCGTTTGCACGCTCTAATGCTCTTAAAGATCTTTTTCCCTTTTGGACCTCTTATAATCTTTAGGGATGGGGGTAATCAATCGTAATTCTTTGCCTCGTCAGTCTTTCTCCTGCAGCCGCTCATCCATAACAGCTTTTGGCAGCTTCGAGCCTTGTCCACCAGCGTGCATTGCGGCGGTGACTCCTTCGGATCATCTCGCGTCTCCCTCTTATACTTGAGAGCTGGGATGGCCAGAAAACACTTCGTCTCGGCACAGTCCTCACAACTCCTCGAGGGGCCCGGCTCGGTCATCGATGACATTGCCCGTAGGCCCTTTAGCTGGCACCGCCGTTGACCGGTGCAGCACCTTGTTGGGCAAGAGCCAGCTGGGCGGCCTGGGCGTTCTCGGTCGCCTTCTGCATGACACCCTGGAGGGCGGCCTGGTCCTCAGCTGTAAGATGGGAGGCCAGGGACTGGTAGAACTGGGGCTGCTCTTCTTCCATCTCTGTTCGGGCATTAGCCATGGTTCCATGTCAAGTCGGAATTGAGAAGCACTTACTCATCAGAGTCGCACTGAACAGCTGGTAAGGGTCCACCTTGTCCAGAGGGGACTCGAGCAGGACACTGTCCTCGCCAAGGTCGTCCTCAGACTCGATATCCTCGACGCCGCGGCTGAACTTCTGGGCCTGTCGTACGTTAGTCACGTCAACGGGCAAAAGCTGGCGGGATTGCAACTTACCTCCTCGTTCAAGAACTCCAGGTAAGCGGTGCTCTCGTCGCGGCTCTCGTTGGTCTCCTCCTCGGCCTCATCCTCGACATTCCAGTTGGCCTCGTCCTCGGCCCACTCGTCCTCTTCGCCGTAGTCGTAAGTGCCGGCCTCGAGGTGGTAGTCGTCACGAAGAGCCTCCTCACGGTTCTTCATAGCAGCGGGCAGAGTCTTGAAAAGCTCAGTGACGCCCTGCAGCAGGCGAGGCCAACCGACGGCGATGCTCTGAGGGACCTGGTCAGCCTTGAGGCTAAGCAGAGCTGCAATGGCGACGATGCAAAGCTTCTTGTCGTGAACCCTGGTGAAGTTGGACATGCTGCCAAACCACAAGCTGAAGAACCTGTTCGTCCAGCCCTTGGTCTCAAGGATATGGAGGGTGAGTACGGGGTTGTAGTGGATCGAGTTGATGACGAGCTCCATGAGGTGGATCTTGTAAGCCTTGAGCTTGACGTCCTGAGCAGTAAGGACGGTCATGGCGAACTCGATGAACCGCAACACGTAGTTGTCAATGTGGCCACGTAGGTTCAGCATCATGGCCTCGGCCAGCTTACAGGCGCAAATACGGTCAACGCCACCGACCTTGTTGTCGTTGAACATGTCCGAGATCATGGAGAAGAGAGCCTCGATGTACTCGGGCTTCTGCACCAGCTGGACGGCGCCATACTGGACAAAGTTGTCCAGCGCCGGAAGCATATCCTCCAGGTAGAGCTCGGCACCGGCCTTGAAAGTAGCGTGAATGAGCTCGAAGGCCTGCCACATGGTGGGCGAGATGCCCTTGGCAGCGAACGTGCAGCTGTCAATGATCTCAAACACTTCATTGTAAAGATCATACAATTTGTTCTCGAGGGTGACTTGAATGACGGGCATGAGAACTGCCTCAATGTGCAGAAGAACGTCAGGCGTGCTCTCGAGGGTGAGGATGAGAGTGCCGATGGTCTGAAGGACACCGAGAGCAGTGATGCTCTTCTCGTCAAGGTAGTCTCCAAACTCATCATCACCGTTGTCCTTGTTCTTGTCCAGCACTTCACGGACTATGCGAAGGTAGGTGTCTCTCAACTGCTCGCTAAGAGCAACCGCAAACGGCGTCAACTCGGTAGCGAAAACCTCGACGAAGTCCTCCATGACGTTGGCGAGGGCGTCGATATCGGCCTCGTTGGCGAGCTTGAGGAGCTGCTGCATAATGGTAGGGATGCTCTGTTGCATACTGGTACGGATGATGTCGTGCCTGATGAGGGGCTGCAGGGCGAGAGCTGCAGTCACACGCACAGGCAGGGCCGGGTCTGCCATGCAGTCAAGGATGTGGCGGTAGATGGTGAGAAGGTTGTTCTGGTCCTGGAAGTTGAGCTGCTCGAACTTCTCGATGGTGTCGCAAGCACGCGCACGTAGGTAACCCTGGTGGCTCGTGAAATCGGGGAAAACGTAGCGGACGAGGAAGTACTCGACCTGGTCGGCGATGGGGCTCTTCTTGCCCAGAATAACGGGGGCCAGAGTGCCAATCATCCTCAAGGCGCCTTCCTTGGCAATATGGTTCTTCTTGTCATCCGGCGCCTGCTCGTACTCGTTGACGACTGCGTTGACGAACTTGAGAATCTCGAAGGTCTGCTTTCTCCTGTTTTTGGTCAGGCCGACGAGGAAGTTGGTGGCGGCGACATCGGGGGCCGAAGCCTCCTCGTAAAAGTTGAGTTTCCTGTGGAGGTATTCATCCGGCTCGTCCTCGAACTTCTCGATGTCCTCCTCGGACAGGCAGAGAACGGGGAAGACGAAATGCGTCACCAGGTTCTGCAGGTGAGGCTTGAGGTGGTTCCACATTTCCTTGGGGCGCACCGACTCATCGAGGAAAACGAGGGTGTAAGACAAGCAGGGTCTGCTGAGCCAGGCCGTCTTCGCAACCCACTTCTCGATCTCGGCTAGGTAGTGCTTGAGGATCTCGGGAGCAATCGTTGCGGAGAACTCCTTGGCAAAGCGGACCGCATCCTCGTCCTTGGTGTTGGTGATAGATTGGGGGTTGCCGTGCCTAGTCCAGTGTAAGCCAATACTTGCGAGTGCCGGGGAAGTGTTTAAGCCATCCTACCTGATGAAAAGTCTGTTCAGGTTGAAGTACGCCCACTTCTTGGCCTTCCACCAATGGTGCTTCTCACGCTCGTATGAGTCGTCGGCCATGGCGCTGGCCGGCGTTGTCTTGGACACAGTCTGGAGGAAAACGGTACACCAGCCAAAGTTGGTCTGTTGTGCGCGGAGGAAGGCAGAAAGCTCGAGCTAGAAACACTGTCAGCCAACAGTACCAGAACAGGCGCAGCAAATGTTTCTCTACGCACCCAGGTCGCGTGCTTGTAGGCCTTGAGGGCCAGGTGAAGCATCTCACCGGCCTCATCGCTCTCCTGAGCAACGAGTTCGTTACAGATAGCCAACAGTCTGGGGAAGCTGGCCTCGATGATCTTGTCAAAGTGAACCCTGTTATCGCCGTCCGAAGACTTGAATCGGTAGGCGCGGCAGATGGCGAGAAGGCACTGCAGACCGGCCAGGACGGAGGCAGCATCGTTCGTGTTCAAAAGCTGCATCGTATAGTCCATAAAGTTGGGCCACTTCTCGGGAAAATCGAAGTGTAGGATACGCTGGAGGACGGGGATCAACTGCTGCCGGACCAGACCCTGGGAGGCGGCCATGATGGGCAGCAGGCGGTCGCGGAAGCGTGCCTTTTCATCTTCGGCGATTTGTGTCTCGTTCGGACTGTGCTCCGACTTTTCCCATCCTCGATTTACGCGGTTCTTGATATAGATAACGGCTAGAATGAGGGTAGTCGTTTAGCACGTCTTCTTGGCCGACAGGTGTACGACGGCAAGGACAGGAGGTCTCGGAGAACGTATACGTACTTGATAGTCGCACACTGTTGTCTTGCTCGTTCTGGAGGACGTCGAGGAGAACGTCCATAAACCCCGGGTGCTCTTCGATCTAGATGTCGTAAGAGGATGTGTCAGCTGGCAAACCCAACAACAACAATAACAACAGCGACAACAAAAACAACAACAAGAGGCGCGATGTTTGCCGTCGGTCCCGCCTCCCCGCCTCCCCGCCTCCCCACCCCTCAAGAAACCGGCACCAGTTGTCTGGAGCGGGCTCCGGACCGGAGGGAAATGAGAAGCAGGTGGCAGATGAGTGGGCATGTCGTCCGTGTTGTATGTGTGCGTGCGGCGTCATGTAGTGCGGATCGTCTGGGTGCGGTAAGGGGGGCCATTTCGTGGGGGAGGGGAGGGGGGAGGGGAGGATCAGGACGAGAAGGGGGATGTGGGAAGCGAGAAAAGACGGCCGGAAAAGAAAAGGATTGCTTCTCTTACCTGCTTCAACTGAATCTCAGCCCTCCGTCTCGTGTCGGCGTCGGGGTCCAAGCTGGCCGCGAGCAGGCCTCGAATCGCCGAAGTGTCCATCTTGGGTGAATTGACGGGGTGATGTCGAGGCGAAGGCGGGATAGGAGTTGAGAAGAAGGAAAGCGGTGCGGGTGGTGAAGACAAAATTTTGGGCGGGTCGTCTGTGTTGCCTCGAAATGGCGGGGCATGCCACGGCGGTGCGAATGGCCAGGAGAGTGCGTGTGCGCTGAGTGCGCTGCTGTGACTGCCACTGCGAATTAATGGATGTTAAGCCGCCAGGTCAAGGAGCCTAAGGGGGGTCGACAGGGACAATGTACAATACATTTGGCGGGAAGGGGAGGGTGGGATGAGGTACCTGGTGCGTCACCCAAGCTCTGCAGTTTAACCAGGTACTCTTGTTGTGATAGTATTCTATCCGTAACGACCTACCTACCTTAGCTAGTAGGGTATAAGGCAGAATACCTGTTCAGGCCCGATGCGTAGCGGATTGTCGCTAGTGCGAAGCGTCAGCTTTGGCAGGCTAACGTAAGGCGGCGGCAGCAGCAGCAGCAGAAGGGGTAGCGGGCTAGACTTCTTCTGGCTCAGGGTATGGGAGACGGAAGGTCGCTACCTACAACCTAAAATACCTAGGATTGAGGTAGCAGAAAGGACAGGCAGCCCAAAGGCGTATAAAAGCTGTGGATGCTGCGTGTTGGTTGGTCTGCCGGGACAAAGTTGTGAAGGAGGAAATATGCGTGTGCGCGTCTGATTTTGCGTGGGATGAGACGGTGCGGCTTGAAAGGCACACAGGTGGTGTTGATGTGTCGATAATGCTGGGGTTGATTGGCTCGCAGCACGTTTCTCCAGATCTCGGCGATCAACAATGAACAATGATCTTGTGCGGATAGATAGGTATATGGTGTACTATGCGTATCCTCGACTTTTTGGGTGTACACTAGGTATGTTTCTTGGAAGAAGGGAAGAAAGCATGGACTTCATGCCTCCTGTTTACCTTTGGGCATCTCTCAAAAAAGAAAAAGAAAAGCAAAATGTCTAGCCAACCCTTGAAGTTTGATTATTTGCATATTTGTTTATTTATTTATCTTTATGTATTTTTATTTTTATTTTCCCCATAACCCGAGCGGCTGTTGAATGGCCAGTGGTCCCGACGAATTCAGACTGCAAAGTGCACGAGGCGGGCAATTCCATCACTATGGGACTGTCGACTGCATCACCAGGGGACAGACAGACTCTAGTTCAGTGTAGGCCAGAGAGCAAAGATATGCGATGGCAGGAAGAGCGCCGTCGCGTCGAGCCACAACTTTGAGGGTGGACAACCATCGAATGACGACGACATGTGCTACACTACCTATCTAGGTTGATTTGACTACCATTTTCCCCAACCGCGGACAACCAACCAGTCAAGACCAACAGGTCCAGTCAGTCATTATGCATCGCTCATCATGCACCGACAATGGCAGCCCAGCTTGGGTGTGTTATCGGCAGAATAAAAGCAGCAAACCGCAAAAGTGCGCTCAGCGGCCCACCGCCTCCACCCGGCCCCCGAAAGCGGTATGGCATCAGGGCAGTCTCAGTTGTCGGGAGGTGATGCTTACTGGTCGGGCTCGCCGCGATGTGATATGGTATGGACCCACAGTCGGAAGAACCTTGCACGCTCCTTCTCCCCCGCCTTCACCGCCTTCACGACTCGCACTTCACTCACCCCTCTCTTTCTCTCCTTCCAACGTCTGTGCTTGCTTGCGATGGAGATGGAGGGGTAACGACAACCAAGAACGACAGCACTGAAGGCAAGGCTGCTTAGGGCGGCACTTCCCTAAACCTCTAGCCTACCTAGGCGTCTCTCTCTCTCTCTCTCTCTCTCTCTCTCTCTCTCTCTCTCTCTCTCTCTCTCTCTCTCTCTCTCTCTCTCTCTCTCTCTCTCTCTCTCTCTCTCTCTCTCTCTCTCTCTCTCTCTCTCCCTCTCTCTCTCCCCCCACAACTCCGTAGACTTCTCACCAAACTCACCAGGATAGACCGTCAAATAAACCCCCCAAGAAATATGTAGAGAAAATAGATCGAGAGAGTGAGAGAACCAGAAAAAGGAAAAGAAGGAAGGAAAAGAAAACAACAAAACCTGATCTTGGCTTATAGCCCTGCCGCTGAGCCGGGCTGCAACCGCCGTTCCTTGTTCTCGTGCTCGTCCTTCCTGTCCCTCTCCGACCCCTGCCCATTCATTTAACCATCACCCGTTCCATCTTTTGCACTGCTGCGACAACATACCTGCCAATGGCTGCCTTTTGCTGGCTGCACCCCTGACATGATACATTCTCCAACAACTAGAATGCGCATTCTTGTAACGACGATCACTGGTACCTTCCACTGTATCCGTACGGCTACTCAAATCGTAATCAAGTTGTCCCGAGTCGCTGTCGTTGGTCCAACCCGGTTCACCCTTTGATATTCCGAATCATTGAGACGATTGTATATACCTGTCTTCCGGGGTCTCATTACCATCAAAAAGCTCGGTATACCAGCAATTCCCGAAATTCTGTGTAGCTCCTGGATCAGTATTTTCGCCTCTCGCGCCCCCTTTCGGGCTCTCGCTGTTGCTGCTGAGAGGCAGAGCCACATCATCCCGAGACAGGCGTAGACTCCGGGTGCGCTACCAGCTCTGCATTCGGCTGGATCCGAGCAGAATCGCCTTATCTCTCTCCCTCTCTCGCGCGCGCGCGCGCGAACGGTTTGCAAGCCGCCCAAGACAAGGACCACCGCAGCACCCAAATCCTCTCCATCTTCAGGTCCTCCACTCTCTGCCATTCTACGGAGCACGTGTATCGATCCCAAAGACCACCATCTTATATGGTAAGACTGCCGACAGCATTTGAATGGCGCCCCTCACTCGACGGGCACCTCCTTGATATCCTTCCCTCGAAAAATTGCCACTCCCGTGCTAGATGACACAGAGAGTTCCGCGGATCTCCACATCGGAAAGTGGTATGGGGAAAGATAGAATTGGCATCGGAAAGGTAGGTAAAATGGGAAAATGGAAAACAGGAAAAGGTTAGAAGAAAAGACAAAAGTAGAAGGACAATAGGAGTCCGAAACGGAGGGAGGGGGGCGAGTAGGTCCCGATCGAGATTTTGTTGGCATGGAATCGGCCAACTCTGGAAGGGGAGGGGGCGGGTTCATCTGCTTTTGCAAGTCAATGGCCGGCGCAGCAGTAGTAACACATCATGTGTATGCGCAGGTCCTCGTTGGCCTGCCTGTCTGCATCTGCCGTAAACTCAACCCCGTCGCGATGAACTCTACTTGGCCCCTCGAACTCAAAACATCGTCAAGAGTCAGGGGTGGTTGGGGTCCCCGACCAAAACTCAACCTTGTCTCGAGAAAGCTTTTTTGTTTTGTTGTCAACTCTGCCCAATGTCTTGCAAGCTATCCCTTCCCCCATGTGAAATATCTGGTCCCAAGAGAGTGGGTGCCTGACAGTTGGTTGCTTCCGCACACGCGACGGCTTGACATCACGCCACGACCGCCAACTGGGGTGATGCCAGGAGGCCGTGGCCGCGATGCGACCGTCGTAGCATTATGAATCGTACACAGCCTTTCCGGTGACGGACGAAAATCATAGCTGAGGACCGAAATTGGCGCCTCAACAAGGTCCAAAAATGCACAGAAACAGGACAAGATGGTCGGGCAAACATTGTCATCATTCAATAGCCGGCAGCCGCTGCTTCCCATATGCCAATAAAACGCCAGAATACATCAACAGATAACCAAGAGATAAACAATTCAGCCACCTTCTCGTTTCCAACTCCAAAACCTTCGTCGACAGGAAATCACACAATAATAAAAGGGGATCGCTCTCTTCCCCATTCACGCCATGATATGCAATACAAGATGAAGTCAACTAGACTCTTCCATGTCTGTCTCCCAACTAGAGCAGAACCCTTGCTCCTGTGCCCTTCTTGTCCAATGGAGTACCTGTCCTACAACCTTTGAGTTAGTACTCCCGCATTCGGTCTCCTGGCGTTGAGAATAAGGTAATCCAGTATGGGGGGTGATAAGAACACAGAAAAGAAACAGAAAATCAAAAAAGAAATCAACGCAACTAGGAATAGTGGTGACTAACGAGCTGTTCCGAGAGACTGCCAGGAAGGCTCCACGTAATCCGGCAATGATGCTCCACAAGGCTGGGCAGCCAGGTTCCATGATGGATGATCCAGAGGTTTGTATTGAAAATCTGAATCCCAATGCCAGGTCAGGCAACCTCAATCATGCCCCGATTCTGGGTCACGGAGAGTATTGGAACCACGAACCGCCAGACTTGTGTCCCATGGCAGGCTATAACACTGGTCGAAAAAAGCATAGAGTGACCCAGGAATAGGGTGTCGTGGCCAAGTAGTTATAGGCAGGAGTCTCACATTCCGGACGGAGTGGCTTGACGAGCTCGTGGTGACGGGCCGGATGGTTTGGAGCTTACCCAAGCGAGGAGATGTGAATCTCCGCCAAGAAAAAGGAAAAAAGAAATCTTGTTTCGACTCGATGAGTCCAGCTTGAGTTCCAGTGGGAGTTTGGAAGGGGCGCAAGGTCAGCTAGCCTCCTGTCCTTGGCATCTGCCCACCGGGTGGTACAGCCACGGTTTGGTCCGATGAGTGGAATCGTCCGGAATCCTTCTAGGCAATATGTGAAGTCCATAATGGTCATGTCCAAGGGCTTGAACAGATCCATATTCCAGTAGTCCATGGGAATAATTCCAGTAGGGTGACGATGTCCAGTGAGAGTAGATCCGGCTTAGTGTGGCGTTAGGAATGAGTGCTCCCGATGAGAGTGGGAATAGCCCCCCACACCTCCTTGAAAAGAGAGTTGAAGTCGTGGAAACCTCCTTTTGAGGATTCGTGAAATATGTACAGTCCGAGAACTCACCTTGCTGTCCAGACGTCGACGTCGCCGTTCTACTAGGAAACACCATGATCACCCGGAACTCCAAAATCCAAGAAAATGAAACCCAGATCAAGAGAATATGGCATCATATTCCACCATCAGGACGGATCCAGACAGCAAGGTGGTCCGATAAAGTTGCCAGCCGCAAGTGTCAACTGAGAGCTTTTTTTCCGTTCCAGGTCCCGGGCCTTACACACGTGCAAACAAGCCACCATGCTTGCTAAAGGAAAGTTAATCGAGTAGCAAAGTCGTGGGCCAAATCCATATATGCAGTCGTTAAACGTCCAGGGTATGCGGTAAGAAATCCATCCTTGGTGAGAATCCAGGTAATAGTCCGGGTGAAATCCAGGGAAAGATGGTAGTAGAGAACTTGAGGGAACGAGTCCAGAGTAGATGGAGAGCCAAGGGAGCTCCTAGCCAGCGCAAAGCCAAAACGCCAGGAAGCGGAGTGTGAGATGCAGACTTGCAACTCACGAGGTGGTTTTCCACACCTCAAAAAGTCCAGTGAGGGTTCTATCCGGGAGAAACAAATGATAAAAGAGTCCGGCGCCGGTGATGAGTCTCCAAATCCCAGGGTCATTAGGATGAAATTCATAACAGACTCGCGAGACTGGCATCTCGCGCAGTCGTAATGGCTACAATAGTCCATAGGTGGGCAACGTATTAGCGGCGAGGAGGGCGGTGGCGGTCGGATTGGTGATGACCCCTGTCTGACTCCCTCTCACGGCGGGAGTGCGATGATCCACTGCTTGACACCTGAGCTTTGGCATTCGTAGGGGTGGCGGAAGTGCGAGGGGCTGGGGGTTGGTCATACTGTGATCCTTGGCCAGAGATAGACCCGCCTGCTGGGGACGCTACACAATCAGATCAAGTTGTTAGAGGGTAGTGAGAATGTTACGCACCGCGTCCGTACAATGGGTCCGAGGCTACGGGCGCCGAGCCGTAGGGAGCCGAAGTCGAGGGCGGGTAGAAACCGGAGTAACCAGCCGGAACCTGCGATCCGGAAGAGTAAGTCTGTCCCTGCTGCTGGGGGGCCATTGTGGTAGGAGTCCGAGAAGGCTGTCCGGCGCCGTACGGATCGGCAGTGTAGCTGCTTCGGGCCAGATTCGCGGCGGTAGCCATGTAGGGGGGTTCCCCATATCCCTGAGCCATCTGTCCTGCGTATCTGGGGTCCCTGGGGTCCTGTTGGCCGTACGAGCCTCCGGGATAGGACGGATACCCACCACCTGAAGAAGAAAAAGAGGAGGGTTGCTGAGCGTAACCCGCAGGAGATCCTTGGTAGCCCGGGGCGGAGTTTCCCGAGTATCCTGGGGCTTGGGATCCTGGGTATCTGGGGGAGCTGTCATAGGAGTCACGTCCCACGTCCGGGTAGCCAGTGGAATCCGTAGGGCCATAGTGTTGGCGTGCGGAATGGGTCTCCGACTGGCGGTACCCTGCTGTAGGGGAGTTAGATCGTATCGACAAAGGAGTCGCCGCGTCTCGTGAGACAAAGGTACCTCCTGAAGTGTTCCGGGCGGCCTGCTGCCGCCTCTCTGCTTCCCATCGCGCAGAATCGGCCTTCAAGTCGTCGATCATGGCCTGTGGGAGTGTTGCGTCAGCATCATTGCGTAAAGAACGTGCGGCGGCGGGCGGAAGCGCTCACTGTTGTCAAGTTCCTGTAGGCCGTGATGTAGTAACCCTGAACTACTTGACCGGTCTGGGGGTTTTCGTAGTGACCCGGGCGTACAAGAGCATCGTTTCCGAGGTAGCGACAGATATCGGCGGTGATGACCTCGCGATCAATACCATCTCTGGGAACGAAGTACTCGTTGGAGCGGCCGCTGGAGGGGGCTGCAGGGGCCGAGCTGGCCGGGGGACCGCGTGATTGTCTCGACATGTTGAGGTCTGGTGTGGTGGACGAAGACGAGGTAGAGGACGATCGGTCGAGAATGACGAGGAGAAGAGAGAAGGGAGGAGTGAGAAGAAAGGGAAGAGGGCACCTGCGAGAAATGGGATTGTCGACAATATGGAGGGAGAAAAAGAGAAGAACGAGAGCGAAGAAAGCGGGCAGGGAGTGGGTGGTGGGAGAAGAAAAGGAACAGGCCAGAGTCTGGCTCTTCTCTTGGGGGTGGGGCTTTGGCTGAGAAAAACCGGGACCCCCAGCGTCAGTGAGCGGTGCGGCAGGCCTAAGATCCTGTCCGGCCCTGCGGTAAATCATCGACGTGGACCAGTGGCCAGTGATCAACAGCCAGCGAACAAGTCTGTGAGTGGTCACTGACACCCCCCCTCCTTCGCACTTTTTTCGAATACTGACTGTGCTGGTCGGTTGAGGCGTGTGTACTCGGTACTCTGTACTGTCCGCACACACACACACACACACACACACACACACACACTCACACGCACTACATAATTATCCTGTTACCAGTGTGCCAGTGAGGAAGAGCAGGAGGAGGGAAGCCCTCGCTCCCGTCTCACTCGCACTGCTTCGTCCAGTCAAGACGCCGCGCGACCGACCAGGGAAGAGTCGGCGAGGCTTGTTGGCACCACGTTGTTGGCTGACAGTCAGTCCCATGCGGATTTTTCTCTCGCTCTGCAAGTAAACCCTGGCAACCTGGCCAATATGCCACTCGACCTACCCCTTAGCGTATTTAAGAGGGGCTAGGAGGGGGTGGTACTGCGTCTCTGAGAGCCCGTCTAAGTCCCGCCTGACCAACCGATGAGAGCTTGCCTGTCTACGCCGGGCCCTTTGCCCCCTTAGTGGTGAGGATTGTGTTGAGAAGGAGAAAAAGAGGACCGGCAGGGCTTACAAAAGCCACCTGGCGAGAGATAGATGGCGTTACGAGAACTAGGTGGGCAAAAAAAAAAAAAAGAGGCGGAGGGCGGTTGGGCGGCAGCGGGGAGGGAAGCTGGGTGGCGGCCGCTCTGAGTGGGCAGAGGCAGCATGAGATGCAGCTATGGAACGGAGTAGATAGGGGAGAGAGGTTGGGTTGACTTGTCGCCCCCCCAGCCCAAAAGGGATACCTAGCGAAGACTTCCCTGCGTCGTACGCACACTAACATGACAGGAAACCCACAGAGATGGCTAGGAATTGTTGCCCAGGGGGGTGGTTGGCTTCGCTACTTGTTTCTACCGCCGCCCAACGTCCGTAACACCGCGACTTCCATGACCAAAGCAATATCGTTAAGCCAGAGCGAACATCGATACGGTTCCACAGGGCGACTGTAGTGCAGTGTATGCATGGGGTTGGGAGGGAAAAGAGGCAGAACCCGAGGAGGGTTGCCGGAGTCGCTGAGCCAATAAGAGGCCAGAAACCCGAGTGAGATCATGAGATGTGGTTGGGTACTGTAAACGACGTGGCTGCTAGATCACCGGACCAGATTGGGCCGCGTCCAAGTCCGTTTAGATGGATGAGGTAACCGTCTACAGGTTCTGGGATTTCGAGCCCCTCCCCGAAGTAATATACCGCGAGCTGTACGTTGACTGCAAGCGGCATAAGACTCCTGGTTTGGGGCGAGGATCCGTCATTTTCGTTGGCGCAGTACGTATGTAAGGCTTCAGGCTCCCGGGATTGTCAGTACCTTGACCGATCATAACGGAGCAGCCAAGAAATAAACTACGGTGCCAACTTCCAAGCGACACGAGAGACGGGACGGTTACGAACTGCGGTGAGGACCTATGCCAGGAGCGTCGTGCTCGGGGGGTTGCAAATAGGGCTCCAATACCTCGCACGGGCTCGGTTTGATGGCATGTTTTGTTTGTCACCGCCTCCGCCTTTTCCTGCTGATACGGCTAAGCTATCATTGGCTGTTCGATGGGTGAAAGAAACGGTTGAGCCGAAGGCGCGAGAGGTAGGTAGGTAACAACATTTGATAATGGTGCAAACTCTCTCGCTTTCCTCCATGACGGGGATTTCCCTGGGACTTCTTTCAACTCGAATGTACATAGTACATAAGCCAGACCCCTCGGCGATTGCGTGTACCGTGGTACCTCGTTACACCTGTCTTCCTCTAGAACCAGGTATGTCTCTGAGGCTGAAATGCACTCGTTGGCTTGGGATGAAGTGGTTCGCAAAAGATGTGGCTCGTGAGTAGTGTAGTCCGTTCCAGACTCGGTCTTTGTTTGGACTGTTGCCCTATCGAGACAAACGGTCGACTAGCGCAGTGGCGTTTTGGGACACCCACAAATTTCCGAGGTGCTGACACTGACATTCCCCATACAAGTTGCTGAGGGCACACGGGAACATATTCTCCTGTTTGGGCAAGCGGACAAGAACGCCATAGGAACAGGAGACGGAATGAACGGATGCTTTCGGTCCCAGTAACCGTCTGAAATGTGCTGCAGACCGGGCGCCGACGAGGCGGAATTCCTGTGGACCCTACGCCTCGAGATATTGTGAGCCGCAATTCTTTAATTCTCGCATGCTTGCTTCACCGATCCCCCTTCATGATCTCTTGTTTCGTATTTCCCTTTGCTTGCGATGAAATGAAGTAGAGCCAGTCATTGTCGTGCTCATTTCCAAAACATTTGCCGACAAGACCGTTCCAGTGTTGATACCCTACCAGGAAGGGACATCCCAGTTTCTGAACGGCGATAGTACGGCAGGCAAGCAGGCCCAAGGGCACGAAGCTGTGCGAGGTAAATCCTGACACCTGTACTCCGAGCTTGCTTGCACCAAGACCCTGTGGTCGTGAAGCGTGGGACGGACGGCTTGGCTGTCTTGTTTTGAACCCTTGCTCTCTCGACTGCCCGCCACTGCGTGACTTCACCGCGCAGCTCCCGTCGTCAGCCCTGACATGAACCAGGCTCCAGTGGTTGCTGCGGCGTTCTCGGTGATTGACCACCGCGGTGCTGTGAACCCACCACTCGTAATCGGCAAGGCGGTCCCTTGGTCCCTCTGTCAACCGTCAGCCTGTCGCATCCGACTGCCGGAAATGCCCCGTCTCTACCATCTTCAGGCCATCCGCGTCGACCCGCAGCCAAATATGGTGTGAGGCGTGCTTCTTCCCGCAATATCCATCTGAGCTACCTAGTTCGGGTTGATAGTCTCTAGAGGCTGCTATCTTAAAGTTTCGTGGCAGTTACCTACTCACGTAGTATGTAGTGGTACCCGTAATGGTGGTTGGTTGGCGTCGTTGGGTATCAATGCTTCGCGCCAAAAATGTGGCCCGATCCACTTTAGCCCAAAAGATGCCTAACGCGCAACCAATCACTCACAGATGAAATCCGGATTGCAACAACGTGACCAGGCGCAGCCAAAGAGACTCATAAAGAACGGTCCAACCCTGGCAGGAAACCGACCTCAGTCGGAGACGTGCCTAGTATGCATATCGTCACTCTACCGTCTGAACCTTATCCACATAGTTTCTTCCGGTTCACGAGGCCGCCTGGTGCTGTTGCTATGCCCAAGGTCTTGCTCGCTGCGGCCTACCGCCCCTAATACTCACCATATCCAGCCGCGTTGATCCGCATCTGCCACGGTTGATTGCAGGCGTGAATCGGAATGACGACACTTGCGCGTCCTTGATATCCACACGGAGCCATTGAACCCGTCCCTAGTGCCGAATGCTCTCAACACATGTCTGTTCCTGTCCCGTCAGGCCGTAGTGACTACACGGTTCGCCAGGTCGCCTCATTCGCATGTCTCACATCTAGGTAATCCGGTAGATGCAACCCAGCATGACTCCGGGAGCAGCTCCAAGTTCCGCAAAAGTGTCGCCTGGGCGCTGACTGCCCGTCCGGTGGACCTGCTAGCAGGCTACCCAGTTCCTTCTCCGGATGCCCAACTTGGCCGTTGAGACAGATAGACCAGGTCCTGTGCTCATATCGGCCCTGGTCAGTGGAACCCGTTGTACTGTTGTGAGATTTGCCAGTGATATAAATAACGCCCATCAGGGACTATCGCTGATGTTCGCAAGGGGTGGGAGGGTGCTCACATTCAAGACCTGCGGTGCCGCGGCCACCCTTGAAATGAGTATCAGGGTGCGAGGTTTACCAACTTCCAAGTCTCGCCAGGTATCAGGCGGCAGGACCCGCTCGACAGACTTTTGGCATGATGCCGGTATCTTCGGATACCAAGAGGATTCATCCGAACTTCAACTTGCTTTGTCCTTGCTCGAGCTTGCCGCCGCGTCCCCCGCGCTTGCCCGATGCACTTGATGGCCTTGTACTGGAATTGCGGGCGGTGGAAGCGCGATTGGCAAATGCAGGTTTGCCACGTTCCTCATCCTGAAGGTCTTTGGCAAAGTGCCAGTCCTCGTGACTCTGGTGGCCTTCCGGTGTTTCGAAACGTGCGTTACAACGTGAACATACAAAGGATGTGATTGGCACCTGGCGAGAGCTGATGTTCTCCTCTCGGGGTTCGAGATTGCCCTCGGCGGCTGCATTGGCGATTGGCGGTTCGTCGTCGGTGGAAACGTTCCGTGTGAAGAAGCGATCGATCGACCCTCCATCTGTCCGGCGCCTTTTGGAGATTGGCATCTCTTCCGAAGTGGGCAGATGGCTTGCTTCACGACTGCCCTGCCTCAATGCCTGGGCTTCTTCTCCTTTCAACAAGAAGGCTCCGATGCCCATGTTGCCCGTGATGCCATCTTCAAATCCGCCCACGCTCAAGCTGAGGTTGGCACAAGGCCAGATATTGCCTTCAGCCATGATTTGATTCATGAGATTTTTCGAGAGGTCAAATAAGGCCTGTTCATCAAGTATTTTACCTTGAGGAATTGGACCTTGGCGTGATTTGGTTTGGCCATCATGTCGGTGGTGCAAGTTGATGGTTCTCGGCCTACGTTTATTCTCCAGAACGCCCTCCTCAATCAAGCGGGCAAAGATGTCGGCAGCAAAGATCCTAAGCCATCTAATAGCCTGTTCAGGAGTATTAATGTAGGGTCGGAAAGACTTGGCGGAAAGCATCGACTTGATTTGCGTGCGGGAGTTGACCTCGCTAGTGTCGATGCCACGGATGGTGTCATAAACCCAGTTTCCTGTGTCATGACCCAGCTTGGCTTTCATCTGGTCTAGAGGGATATCCAGTAGCTCGCGAACGGCGTCGGTATTGAAGGTTGACACTACGTTCTCGCCGAGCTTTCCTCCGAGATTGCGTATCTTGGTGAACTTAAAACCGGACAAGAAATGGGTCACGGCTCGGTTCCGAATGACAGTCTGCTGGTTAGGTTTCTTGTGACCCGAGCCCAATTTGCTTAGTAGCTTGTTCTTAGCTATGCCTGCGGAGCATGTGTACTGTAACCTCTCCAAGATCTGGCCCCGGACATGGCGCACAATTTCAGACCCGATAAGAATCGCGACGTCGTCCCAATCTGGATCCACAGACTCTTGCTCCTCGTCCAAGTCGACGAGGGCATCTGCCTGCCAGTCCAGCGCTGCCACGGAGGGTCTAGGAAGATCCTCAGTGGGGTCATCGTAAGGAGGCGGGTTTGCTAGCTCGGGAAAGCGCTCCAAGAGGATTGAGTGCACCTGAGCGGAAAGATCAAGAAACACCTCGTCGATGCTCGCCTTTTCAATCTTCTGGATGTCTGGGGGCAAGCTTTCCTTGATGACACCCAGAATCCTTCTGCTCTGAAGACGGTAAGGGTCGAGCGAGACCTTGTCGCTCTGAATATTGACGGCGGCATCATGACGATATGCCCACTTGTCGTCGCCCTCGCGCCACGTGGCTACATGCTGAGCAACCAGAGTAGGACAAAGCTTCTTGGCGTCCGGCAAAGTGCAATGGCGGCCGATTCCATATTCACGAGCTGGGTAGTTGACGGCAATCAGGCCTTGCCTGGCGAGTTGATTAGTTGGCAATCTGACAGACAGGCTTGTCCGTACGTACCACTGCTGAACTGCCAGAGGTTGGTCCTTTGGAACACCCAGTCGTACCATTTCACATTGCGCGTAGAAGGCGTCCAGGTCAATGTGAGCTATGACTCTCAGTGGGCACGATGTATTGTATGTTGCCAGCTGGGACAAGTGCTTGTATTTGAATTGAGATTTCCTCCTGCCTGTGCCGAGAAGAGGGGAAGAATCCCGAAAGGGTTGTGAGGACGACATGGTTTCGAGTATTGAAGCGAAAAGCTGTCAGCGCCGGACCAGCCCCTGTTCGCCTGCCAGAGTTTGATGGTGGATTTCAGTGGTCGGCATCAGTACACAGACGAGACAAGACACCCATATGTCATGTGATTCTTGTGTTCTTGTTTGTCGGATGTGGTTTTGATGGAGAGCGTGCTCGAATGCTCGACGGGACTGATGAGTCTGCACCGAGAAATGATTGCGCCTACGAAAAGTAGGTAGGAGTCGAGTTGAACGCGCTTCGGAGCGCGTCTGCCCTTCTGGTCTACCTAGGTAGGTACCTATCTACCTGGCCCCCCTCCCAAAAAGGTAGGAGATACCCAGGCAACAAGCAGTAGGTACGCCCCTGTGTTTGCCAAAAGTAGGCTTAGCGTGGTTGGATGGCTCCACTTTATTCCAGTGATGACCAACAGAACATCGTAGCGCACCAAATTGTAAACTTACTATCTATCCTTCAAAGGAGTGAGCACTTTTTACAATGTGCACTTGTCTCCATCTCCATATTATAAGACCTTGATTCTAGGCAATAAGGTTGATCGTGACCAATAGCCCAAACGGATGTGAATATCAAGAAGGTGAGGCACATTACTGGTGGCTGAGTGAATACAAATGTGTCGCTATAAGCTATTCGATGTTCAACTGAGCAAAGACGAACCACGCCAGCGTTACCTTTGGCATCCTCGTTAAGTTGGCTCCTCAGTTTGTTTCCCCCACGGTTCATGTTCTGGTTAACTTGCCAACATATTGCAGGGGAACGGGGAATCTTAATTAGAATTTGACCCTTACCATCGAACCGGAAACTTCTCATTGACTATTTTCGGCGCTGCCGAATCACCAGAGTCAAGGCGCCTAATTTGACTGCTCTTTGTAAACACTCTGAGATACACTACCAACAAGCTACTAGATTTATTAGGGTTAAAGTATGATTGACTGTCTTTGGCGAGACTTCCAGACACTTGGTTGTTCCTCGAGACGGGTTGGGGGGGATATGTCAACACAAACACACTCCCCTACTTCAAGCTGATCTCCTAAAACTGATCGGCGAAGAAAATCAATTGGGCCAGTGACTTGAGTAATCAAATGGCATTATCATGTGTAATGTGCCTACTCAAAGCACTTTCGTCCTGTTCTTTACGCGGGTTTTTGGGATCTATTCCAGAAATGTGGCAATTAGCACGTGTGCTTCCACATGTGGTGGAATGAAACATGATACAAATTCCGAGAGAGATCGTCCGGCTGGGACAAATCTGTGTTTCTGTCAGTCAATGTTGGAGTTTGCCCCGGCTATCATTACCACTACACTCGGTTGGGTTTGTTCCTCCCACTGTAACAAAAGGTCAAATTGAACGGTGCCGATGCCGACTGAAGCAAACTATTCGGCTCATAATCAAGACTGCAGCCAGGGATGGAATGGAACAACTTCTGGTCACAATCCGGACATGGTCCATCTTGCACATTTGTTTTCCACCGGGGACGGATCCGCCGGTTGTCGGAACAGCCCCGCCGCCCCCGGTGGACGCCAATCCGCATCAGTGGGTCCACTCGTTGCCGATCCGGGAGATTCAAGACGCCGCGCCAACCCGCCGCAGAGGCGGCAAGCCCTGTCACGTTGTCGACCACAAGTGAATGAATCCGCGAAGGACTTTTGTAGACTCATCAACCGACAATTGTATGGAGATAACGCTGAGCCGTGCCAGACAATGTCTGACCCTTTGCAATGAATTGATAATTACAGAAACCAAGAAAAGATTCATTATTAGCAGGTCCACGTGTTTACACACATATACACACCAGAGTCAAACGCTGAAACCCTCCAAGTAGTCTATACCGTTCCAAACGCCCGCCCAAAATTATATATAACCCATGGGTATCTCCTCACTTGATTAATGGTCACCGGGCCGCATCTCCTGCATCTCCATCTCGCGAGAGGGCTGGTTGGGATCAGTCAGGCCATGCCTTTCACGGAGTGTCTGTATGAGAGAGCCCATTTCGTAGTCGCTCTCCATGCTCTCGTGGTTGGTGCACGGCGACCCGTGTATAGGCAGAAGCCAATCCAGCCAGCTATGCCCCATGACGGAGATCCAATTCCTAGTATAGCCGAGGTCCCATGGGTTCTCGTCTGGCTCCGTCCTAACGATAGCAAAAGTACGTGTTGCGAGACGATCACGCGGAGTCTCGCTATCCGCAGTGGCATTTGAGGAGGTCTGCACTTCCCGCGAGGAATTCGGTAAGGGGTATGTGATTGTTCCATCGTGATTGCCGGGACGGGTGCCGTTAGGCACCCTGATTGCGAGTTGGTGCACCCACGATTTGCGGAGGGCGTCAATATTGGTGATGTTAAGGAAGATGAAGCGCCATGAGGTGGCTGTCATCAGGAAGGTGAAGAGACCAAAGAAGGCGGCGATGGCAACTCCAGAGATGGTCCTGCCGTCGACGGTGCCATCTCGCGCCTGCAACGCAAGACAATAAGCTGCCTGGGCGAGGGCAATCGCGCAGTACAGAGTACAGTAAAAGGTGAACTGGGCGAAGAACTTGAAGGCTACGATTGGTCAGCATCAAAACCTTACAATGGACCGATCGTGGAACATCAGCACTTACACGTCTCCGATACCATGCCGCCGACCCAGGGGCAGTAGTGGTCCATCTTTCGCACGCATCGTCCGACCTCGCTCGAGTGGTGGGCCCGGTCAGGCTTCCAGTTGCGGCATTCGGAGCACCACTTGGGCCGCCCGTCGCTCTCGCACACAAACACGTCTTTACTGTAAAAGGTCTCCAGGCCAGGGCTGTCTGGGTCTTGGTCGGGGCCGGTGAAGTACGGCTGGCTTTCCAAATCGCCCTCTTTCCTTCGTCTGCGTTTTTTGTTCGACTCCCTCGACGGATGTTGGGCCTGAGGACCGAGCGGTACCAGACCTGGATCCATCTTGATCTTAATGAAAGTTCGTAGGTAGGTGGCGATGGTGAGGAGGTAGAAGAAGAGGTAAATCGTGATGGTCGATACTGCGGCGCCGACCTCACCCCTGGTCCTGTATAGGTAGTCGACTGCAGCAAATGTCAGTTACCGAATGCGCTCCAGAGTCAAGGGGGGACCGACCGCCTAAGTAGGCCACAATCACGTAGGTGGCATAGCCGCTTGTGCCCGTGATGGTGATGGGGATGATGCGCGTCACCCATCGCGAAGCACATTTAGTGCTGGTGGCTTGCGACATTGCAGAGGTGCGATCATTGCCGAAACATTGGGAGACGAGCCAGGCAGCAAAATGTTACCGCCGTTCGGGAGCGATATGCGAAGAGCAATGAGCGACGGGCTGTAAAGCCACGTCAGGCGATGCGGCGATGCGCAGAATTGAAGTTGGTCGTCGAAGACTCGATGTGTTATGTATGCAGAGGGAACAGATGGTGACGGGAAAAAGAGGCTGGAGGTACAAGCGCGGGTGCAGGTCATGGGTGCGATGCGGAGTAATTTCCACAGGCTCTAAACTTTAGGCGTTCGTATAAAAAGGGCCGGTCTCCCATCCTACCTATCTACCAACACCACCTTTCCTACCCTTTTGTTAGTAGAACAATAAAATAAAATAAAGCTATATCACTACAATATGCTCAAAAAGCCTGCATTAGGAAGAAGAAAAAAACCCCAAGTTATTGAACGCGGTGGGGGCATGATAGGCTTCTAAATACTGGTAGTTTTTGGATGTGGTTGAGACCGGCTACATAAGTAAGTACCCGTACCTAGGTACCTTGGTAGGTACTAGTAGAAGTGGATCAAAAGGCACCGACAGCCCTACAGCCAACCTCCGCGACCCTGTCTTAGCTTTTTGCATCTAACACCTTCATCTTACTCATTCAGCGGACATGTTTCTCTCCGCTGCCGATAAAACACTGCCACTTGGCCAACAACAAGCCAGCCGCATCCCTCTGCTTCGACTGTCAAACCTCTCCGTTCGGCGATTACGCATCACACTAGACCACCAGATTTGTTATCCAGAAAACGCCGGTTGGAGATCAAATCGAGGATTAGACCAGCCCCTGTTCAAATGACAGGGCCAGAATTGCCGAGTGAAGCGCGCATTGAAGATTCTTGATGGCTGCGTCTGTTCGGCAACACCAACTTTTTTTTTTTTGGCTATAGCTGGCAAGTGCAGCTTCACCAACCAGCTGACAGGGTTTAGGGTTCAACAATCATATACCCGTATTTCAGCTGCTCCGTTGCCGGAATCATTATTCCATGTCGCCCAATACTCGGATGCCCCATATCTTGAATCACGAGTTCGAGTTGGGAAAACTAACGCCAGTATCCCTGGAAGCTGCACAATGGTGACGCAAACTGAACGCGGCCTTCACCTTGATGCTTTTTGACAACAGAAGAAGGTAGCTTTGCGGCATCTTAAGGTCGTATTATTCCAACATGCTGCCACATCAAGAGTATGCTCATCCGCCATTTCACGACAGCACTGGCCGACTTTGCTCACTCTAAGCTAGAGCAAGCTTGCCTGCCCAAAATCATATGGCCCTTATGAGCGCTCGGTTATTGGGTTTCACCGCGAATAGCTGTTCACAATGATCTGATGCTTTAGATTGGTAACAGCTTCTGCCCTCAGCCTTGGATAACATTCGACGTCGTAGGGCTTCGGTAAGCAAACTGCTCAGTCATGCCTTGCCATCTGCTACCAACACGATGTAGAAAGCCAATTGTCTCAAGCTTGCTCTGATCTGACCTTCAGCCGCAGCTTGACTCCTTTAATCTCAAATTCTCAACCGGGGACTCAAAAGACCGGAAGCAGAGCCACGCGGGAAGGCCTGTGGGTCAATACTGAGGACTGACAAGACCAAGGAGATAACAACCCTTTTTGTGAGGCTCAAAAAAATGGTCTTTCTGCCTAAGATTTTGAACTTCAGGGTTCCCTTGCTATCTGGCCTGAGGCTAATGACTGCATTTTCATGGTCATAGGACCAGCAGAGCCGCATGACAGCTCCATGTACTTAAGTGCTCATCACCCCAGTCCCAGACCTCAGACCCCTTCTCCTCCTCGATCAGCTGGCATTCTCGTTGGTAGTATCACCTCGAAAGACAACAAATCGAATTTCAAACTTCACAACAAAAGTTACGCTCTTGACTACAGAAAAGCCCTTCGATCACGGCCTCACCGAATTTGGAACAGCCAGCCCAGCTGCTTTGAGTTGCTGACGATGCAACACGACTTGCACCACCAACTACCGACCACGAACCCTTGAATATAAGCCGCTCGGTGCTAAGCTTCGACTTTTGACCAACGATACCGACTATCAGTCCACAACTATCGCTTTACTCTACCTACGGCCTGTACAACACTATTGCATCCTTCATGAACTAGAGAGATCCCCAGACGAGTAACGCTTATCATATTCGCATTGACATGTACGATGAGATGTCACTGCATGTGAAGGAGGGGAACCTCGTACCAGAGCTGGGAGGCTGACAATACAGAGTCCTCTCAACTGCGTTTACCCTTGTACCAATCGATAAGAAGATACATATCTCTACAATAGTATTAAGAATGACCGTTTCGCTGCTAACTTAGCCCCAGGTGAAACTATATCAACAAGTAGTCACCACTCAACAGTTCAGGACAACTCTACTTGGACCAAGACATTAAACAGAAGCCACCGAACACACATAGAGCTCATCATGTGATGCAGCATTCATACGTTATCCGAGTCGCATTTCCGGTGCCGCATCTGGTCGTGTCGAGGGACCGCTGTGCACAGTTACGCAATCATGCATTAGACATCTGCAGCCTCCTTCCGCCCCCTCAACTATCCATACCAAGAGCCAAAGCCTGCTCCTAAAGTAAACGAGAGTTGCTGCCTACGATCGACTTACTTTCAACTTGTGAACCGGCCGAGTCAATTCAGGCCAAGACATACCATTCCAGGCGGAATGTTTGGAGTATCGTCTCACGTTCATACAAATTAGGCATGCATGTGGCCGTGGGGGGGGGGGGGGGGGGGTATGAGACTGCAGCTAGGGTTGGATGGACGGATTGTTCCACCGGCACAGCAGTATGACTTCAAATCGAGCGACTTCCGCAGCGCCTTGAAGCGACCTGGGACAAAAACACGGGTCATTCGTGGCATGCGGCTCTGCTCCAAAGTCTGGTTCCGCCTTGATTCAGCCTCCGCGCATGCCTCACAGTCGAAGTGGAGCAGCTGCCTAGTTGCCCGGTGTGGTCAGCTAGTTTCAGGGCGGCCGGTGACATGCCCACCTTTACCACGTTTCCTGCGATTTGCACAGCCGTCGAAAACCGCAGAGCCGCAAAAAAGTACGGTGCATCTGCAGAGCCGCAAACCCTCACAGAGTCCGACGGTACTTCTCGTCTCGCGCGTCTCCACGAAGTCTTATCCGGCCGCTCTCCTCCGTACTTTCGGCACAAGGCAGGGAGTCATCTGGGCGTCCTGCCCCTCATCCCTTGTCCCCCACGTCTATGACAATGTCTAGGCTAATCGTCCCAGCGTCCTGCCGTCTCAAGTTCTGCCTGATTCACCGTAGCACCTTGTACAAAGACCCCCGGGTATGAAGCGCATCGGCACACGCCCCGGAGAAGCAAACGCTGCATGCTATTTGATGTGCAGAGAGGCGGGGTTGGCGATACCCTGGGCGGCAGGATGGCTTGTTTTGTTGCCTTCACAACCCTGCCAAGGTAGAGAGGGTGCCTTTCGAAACAAACTACGACGCTCACCGATTTGGTCTGCCAGAGACCCCACCGAATAGACCTCATTCACGCCGTCGGCGACTCCGCCTGAGGTTTCTTGTGCAAACCCGCCTAGCGGTTGCCGTTATGTGGCTTGGATTCTTGTTAGCCGGCATTCTGCTTCCTCAATGGCGTTGGACCTGGCCTCGTTTTGAACGCATGTGTGACGGTTCGTCAAGGAAACTTTTTCTTGCTTGCTGGGCATGTATAAGAGGAGGGGAGGAGAGCGTTCTGGTCGAGTTTTATCCCATCATCAGCTTCAGCAACACTTTTCGCGTCATTGTAGAGACATATCTAGATCAACTCGGAGTTTCAATAATCTACTTCATCACTTTTTCCAACCGCGCCAGTACCACCTCAACCTTTCAAGATGCCCAAATCGTCTGGCAAGACTTCCGTCAGCATCAGAGTCTGGACTTGCGTGAGTGCTGACATGGCGAGAGCATCCCTGGAGAAGAGACTGACCGCGCGTAGTGCCAATGTGGTGACTCGGGCATGACCACAAATATTCCGAGCTGCCCATCGTGTTACTACAACCGTTGCGAGAACTGCCCTGTCCAGGTGATCAAGGGCAAGAGCAACAGATAGTCGCCCTTCGTTCTGTTTCGTGCCCATGATTTCTGTGACGGGCGAGAGGCGGTAGCGGCCGACCTGACCCTGAAGTCCTCGATTACGGATCTCGAAAACGCCCGTTTAGGGGGCTCAAACAGAGGGCAGCGAACCTCCTGTCAAGACTACAGGAGTGTACACGCAATGGGGCATTGATTCTATTGGTTCGTTTTTACAAGTTGATCGCTTTAGTTTTTCTTTTCACTGGTCTGGGCAAGCAGCTGTGCTCTCTCGGTATCTCTCGTGAGTCACAAGTCAGGGGTGGACGACTAGCACTGGCCAGGTCGGGAGGGGGGGTGACACGGCATACAAGATGTAGGAGAGCACGACTGCCGTTTCTCGCCTGTCTCCTTTTTGTCGTCTTTTCTTTTTCTTTTTTTTTTTTCTTTTTTGTAATGACAGAACCTGGGTTACCGCTGGTTGTGTAGATAGACTAGAAGTTCCACGACATCCTCCGCAATGGAATTGATCTTGTTGTCTTGTCTGCGGCTTGAGTCCTCTGCACTCTACCACCACATGACCGTCCCTGGCTTCCAACTTGCCCGGGTCTGCAAAAATATGTAGCCGGAACAAGTCGGGCTCATACATCAGTGTCAAATCACGTAAACCGTAATCAACGGTCGCAGGGCTTGACATTCGCCAACGGAGCTTTCAGGGACATTTTCCACCTCACGAATGCGACGTAAACCCCTATAATAGCGCTTCCCAACTTCCAAGACTGGACTGTTCGTCATACGCCGTAACGCTCCTTGATGGCTTTGGAACGAAAATTGCCATTCACGTGCTCGATTGGAATGAAATACAAAGTGGCGGAGTCTAGTCTACAGTTTACCTAGACGATCGACGAAACACCCACCTCCTCAGAAGTGGCAGGAACTTTGGAAATCGCGAGTCTCGCCAATGGCACCGCTCGTTACGGGCTTGGTTCTAACCCCTCGAAACCCATTCAAACTGCTGCAAACTGCGAATCGTCCATTTGGCCTAACTGCGTAGAGAGGAAGATGGCTGTGCATGGCCCGCAGCTCACCGTCATTTCGATATCTTCCTCAGGAAACCTCAAAGTCCGCCTCAAAGCATCCTTTCAAGCCGTACAATCCACGTTGAAGATTGGTGCTGCCCTACATACATGGTCTACTAGGCGTTGAGGAGGCCCGACGTGGCCTCAATGAGGCACGTCGTCATATTTCCTCTCGATAAAGTGCACATTCGGTCATGAGGGGCCCCTGCATGCATAGAGTAACGAGCCCTGGCATCTCGCCAGTGCGAGGGCTTTTCGTTAGGAGGAAACTGGCACGACGAAGAGCGCGGATGCGTCAGCCAGTCGATGGTCACTCACATCGTGTAGAGCCAATGTGTTTAGGCATACACGCATACCCAACATGCAAAAAAAAAGCAAAAAAAAAAAAAAAAAAACCCTTGCTTACGTCTTCCGCATATAGGGAGACCGTTTGGTGTGCCTCGGCATGCCGACTGAGCCTCAGGCCTTGTAATGGTCCTCGCGTGGCCTCGGGGGTGGGCGCACCCGGTGTAGTGGTTCGCATGCCTTGGCCTTTTTTGTGCACGATACGAAAAAAAAAACCCCCCTAACCCTCCGAGTCGCAGGTGAGAGTGTGGTCCCGACAGCACGGGAAGGATGGGAGGCGCAAGGTTGCCTGCCGGACGACTACGCCCCTTCGATGCACGCCCTATTCGCGAATGCAAAAGGACTGAGCAGCACAATCCAGGATGGAAGCAAAGTCGACGTATAACCGGGAAGCACGGTTTTTCTTCTTCATTTCCTCGTTTTGAGGGAAACGACAAGGCAATTACTTGTACACTTGAGGATTGAGGAAAATGACAGGCATCCCAACGATGGGGCGTGTTGATGATTGGAACCCGAGGAAGAGCAATTCCACTGAGGGAGGCAATGCTCCTCCAAGCCCCTCGCCCCGCTCTCTCAGAGGAACTCCATCCAGGAAGCAAGCACTAGCTTGCTCTTCGCCGGATTCCTCGATCATGACGGATCGAATAGGGCGCGCACTTGTGCGAGTTTGGCTGCGAGCGAAACTTCAAAGGCCGTAGAAGACAGCGTCGAGAGAATTGAAAAGGAACGACAGCGCCGCCTCTTTCCAGCTTAAGATTCGGCATCTTCTCATCACACGATATATACCGCCACTGCAGCTTCCAAGCACTTGACGCAGAAAACATAAACGATCGACTTCGTTCCTCACAATCATCATCTTCGTCCAACCCCGGTCAGCTTAACCATGGGCTCTCATCACAAGTCTTCCAGCTCCAAGGGCCACGGCGGCTCCTCCCACGGAAAGTCCTCCAGCAGCAAGAAGAAGGCAGTCGTCCAAACCAGCGTCTGGTACTGTGTGAGTGAATCTCTTGCTCGCCGGAGGCGCCCACTGTCTTTTGTCCCTGTGCTAACTTCGCTTCTTTCAGGACGCTTGTCGCTATGGGCCGTGGAACCCTTCCATCGACATGTATTGCCCTAACTGTAGACACCAACGCTGTGGCGGATGTACGACGGACGTGATCACGCAGCGCTCTGACCATTGAGTAAATATAGTCTCGGCAGGCCCCGAGCTCCGAGACTAGACAGCATGGCGGGCGTTGGCTTTCCCCGAGGACGGACATGCAAAGGATGTCAGAAAAGGCAGCCGCTGGGCGGGCTTGCTACGGATCGCGAGCATTTGAAGCTATCCGGTTGAGCCGGTACCATGTTTTCGTTTAGACCTCCAAGAATTGGGCAAGACAGGATCGGATAGACAGGAGCTACGTAGGCCTAGCGATGGGCTCGAAAGAACAGACAAATGATTTCATTTCTGGCCTGCTCGCCCTCCCCATAGCCACTTTGTGGCTGGTGGGAGATCCTTTACTGCCAGTCGCCTCGTCTCACAAAAGTGGATTGTGAAAATCGCATTTCTTGAACCGCAGTGACCTCATTTCGTACTAGTTGAACTGCAGCAGCGGACCGCTGGCCATCTGCACGACCAAGACAAGTACTACAATGCTAGAGCAGAAAACACTTGGCGACTCGAATCCAAACCGGCAAGTCATCCGGCAGTGTCAGCACTTTTTTCGTTGTCACCTCTCGCTCGCTCTCAGTAAGAGCTGCCTCCATCTGAGCGTGGAGGGTGTCTGAACCAGTAGTAGGGCGGACTGACAGTGAGCGAATGCACGAATTGCGGAACAATGAGCAATGGTACCCGTGAGAAACGATGCGACAGACATTGACGGTGTGTCGGATCATCACACCGATGTGGCCATGTATGAAGCAGCACTGGCCGCAATGACGGGTATCTTTCTGATAGGTAGACTAGACATAGGTACAACACAACAGAGTCGACGCTCAGCCCATATTCGATATGCGATTGATGGATACCTCCCCTCTCTTGGCACCATAAGAACCCGCGAATAGTGGCTGATGGTCGTTTAAGTCAGTTGCCTCGTCTTCAGTCATGGAGCAAGGTAGTGAGATGTGAGTCAGGAATGGCACCTGATCCCCTTGCAAAGGAGGGTAACTTGGATGGGAAAGAGAAGGGTTGCAGGCGTTCCCCTTGGTGAGGCATCTGTTTGAGGATGATTGGTACTTGGTAGTGTGGCGGAATCGAGCCCCTTATGCGTCCTTGGTAGTAGGAACCAGCCCAAGTAGCGTAACGGACTGTGATGGAATGGAGCCAGTGGCCATCTGGAAAAACTAGGCAATTGACAAAAAGACAGCAAGTGAGGAGGAGGCACTGAGGTCCATTGGCAAGTATGGCTGGATGTCAAGCGAGGTGGAAACAGGTGAAGTTGAATTTCTCCTCACCGACGAGGCAATGCAACTCGGCCAAGCCCCCCGGCCCCATCGAACATGGACGCAAACTCGAAAAAGGACGAGACATACCCACCGAAGTTGCGCAACAGAGATGTGCGAAACTGCGCTCCATGCCTAGGCTTCCAAAACGAGATTTTGAGATATGTTTGAAGGTTTATAAACCCTTCGACCATCGACTTCGAAGAGAGTTGAAGCATCTCGCCATCAGCTCAGACGCTCGAGATACAAGACGTACAGGTCTCGTACCCGAAAGATCCGAATATACAAGACATCATTGAATAACCTCCGCAACTCGCAGACATGCCCTCAACCCCGAGGACAAGGACCAAGGTGGTATGGTACTGCGTGAGTTCGAGACCCAGGAGCACAAGAGAAGTCCCGTGGGCCCTGACTGATGCCTCTTGACCCATGTAGCACAATTGCAGCAACGGGCCGAACAACTACAGACTCGACGAACACTGCCCGGCTTGCCATATGAGGAGGTGCCGTTACTGCACCGTCCAGGAGATTCAAGTGCGTGTCGACCACTAGGTGAGTCTCGGAGTGACAACGCAAACCCGGAGGGATGGGCGTTTCGCTGACTAGCAAAGTACCAGGCTCACAGCCCGCCCATTGCACTGGCAAACCACCGACACAGCATATGGCAGGGAGCCTCTGCTCAATAGAAGGGAATCAATGCCCTCACCGGCATGACAGCGGGACGGAAAAGGACGGGAAGAGAAAAAGGGGGGGTAAGCACACTCCAGCTGTCTCATAGACCAGCATCATGACGGTCCGTTCAAAAGAAACAACAATATCTACCCCCCCCCCCCCTTTCCAGGATGTATCAAACGTCGTAGAATTAGGAATCATAGACACGCCGCAAGGCAGACGGCCCTCAAACAGTACACAATAGAATTTGCTGGTTTTTGTTTCTCGCAAGCAGCGCGCCTTGACAGGTAGTTGACCGTGGACGCGTGGCTGGTGCCCCTTAAGCCCTGATCGCCTTGTCTTACGGGATGAATTGCTTGGTAACGAAGACTCGGGAGCTTGAGATGATGGCGGAGTCCCCCCCCCAAGCTAGGTTGTCCCTCGGTGTGCGGTCACCTAGACAGCGGACTACGGTGACGACATACCAGCGCCGATCCGCGCCGGTGCGGGCTTGTGAGGAAAGAAAAAAAAGAGAGAGGTCTTACTTACAGATTGTGACGAAGTTCTGCTCTGCCACGGTGGGTCACCTGGTCGTAGGCGTGGTTGATTCTGCCCATAACAAGGTTTCGGGGAGCGATGAGCGAAGATGGCGGCGATGGGAAAGGGAAGAGAGGGAAATGGACGGCAGGAGGTGAGTAGTGGAGAGCAGAGCCGCAACAGTCAGCATGGGTCCACACTATTGGTGGTCGAGGCGAATAGAAGTGCAGAAAGAGAATCGACTTGATAGGTGAAGAGTCCGACTAGCGGATCCCTTCCGAGGCGCCGTCGCCCGATGGGTCCGCCTACCCCAGCTCCGCTTACCTAGGTAGGCAAGCAGGCAACTACCCCCCCAGCTATGCTATCTGTATCCGTATTTTGGCCCGATTACACACACGGGATGGCCCAAAGAACAAAGAGTAGGTAGACGGTGCGGCGGGAAACTCTCAAAGATTCGGGCAAAAGACGACGGTAGAAAGGACAAAAAAAATCAAGCATGATGGATCGCTCCAGAATCCCCCTTCCCCCCAGCCTCCGCGGAGCCTCCAGCCAAGCCAAGGCTTCTAGAAGCATTCACCGAAGCTGTTCAACTCCAGCAGGTCACCTTACCTTTCTTTTCCGAATGCACACAGCCACATCTCTCATGGGTTGCCGCTGGTCCAGTTGGCCTCTGGTCGGGCTTCGGTGACACGATTGGCCCCGAATACCCTGTTCAGAGACCCAATCACCGCCTCGTCTTTGGTCATCGTCCCAAGAGTCATCATCTTCTCACTTACCTGCTTACTGAAAGCAAATCTCTGCCGCCCGGCACTAATTACATCAAAGGACAACTCACACAGACAATCGCTCAGTGCCATACCATTGGTGCGTCGACTTCATCATTAAGCATGTCCTTCCTGCATTCGGGCCCATACCCTACCACTATCGGAAGATGGATTGATGCTAGTGTGAAAAGTAGAAAAAAAAAAATATAAAATATAAAAAATGCCCAAGAGATGTTGCTGACCACCACGGCCACGAGGAAAAAAGGATGATTAGACCCTGAACCAACGGCGGACCCCGGTTCCGTTCAATGTATGCAGCAAGATCCGCAGTCGATAGAATAGAAATGGTCCGACTTCATCACTTCCTCTTCGAGCCGAGCCGAGACCGACGTCGCTGTGCTTCGAAAATGCATCTTCGCGACTCTCCTCCCCAACCGCCGTTGCCACTTCGCTTGTTCGCCCCTCCCCTTCCCCTGTACGTTTGATGTCTTGCCGCCCCATAATGTACAATGCTCCGTTTCGCCTGTTTGACCGAAAACACCTTGCAAACGCCTTACACATACAGACCCGCACTCGTTTGTCGACGTCAATATTCAATGATAATGGGTAGGCATGACCGAATGCCTCATGCAACGTGGCTCGTGTCCCCTAACGCCCCGCGTCTAGTCTTGGCGAGCCGTGATGGTGGCCTCGGGGCTCACGAGCTCAGGGCTCACAAGCCGGATCGTGGACCCCAAAGAGAGCTCCTCCAGCGCGGTGCGCGACGCCTTGCTCAAGCTTCGGTGGAGCTTGGAAGTCTTGGCCGTCTTCGCGTCGTCATCCCCTGCTCCCGCAGCTATAATGGTCATGCTCGGCGCCCGGTTCGCCATCTTGTTGGGCGACGTCTTTCCGTACGTCTTGAGCGTCTTGCCGGAGCCTGACTTACGGACTGCCGTGACTTTGCGCGCCGGGTTGGGAGCCGTGTACTTCTTAGGTGTAGACTTCTTCGGAGTCGTCTTTTTGGTCGTCGTCTTTGCCGGAGTCGCCTTCGTGGCCTTGGCCGTCGTCTTTGCCGGTGTGCTTGTCTTGGTAGTACTGCTTAGAATCGCCATGGCCGACACGCGCCTCTTCACTGTGGCTGCACCCTTGGCAGCAGCCTTGGTGAGCAGACCGGTCGAAGAGAGCGACCGTCGCACCCCCTTGGCGGCCTTGACCTTGCGCTTCTTTGCCGAGCCGCCGGCTTCGTCGTCGCCGACCAGTGTTTCGATCTTGCGCTTGCTGGCCTTGACGGCACTCTTGACTACGGCCTTGAGCGTCGACTTGGGAGGCTTGGGCTGTTTGACTTCCTGAGGCTTGGGCCCTAAAATCCCTCGACAGTTCGGCGCGCCACAGAGACACTTTTGGACATTTTCGTCGCTGAAAGGACTAAAGTTGTAGTCGTATGTGAGCTCCTCACCCGTCATGATGGGCTTGTCCCCCGCGAAGAGCGCCATCCTCGGCTGACCGGACACGATCCATTTAATCATCCGGCAGTTGGGGGCACACGAATGGTTGACGAAGCGAGCGATGCTGCCCTTGGTGGCGTCGATGATCATATTCTGGTCGAAGCTCATGAGGTAGTAACACTGGCGATGCGTTAGCGTGGCTCGCCAGAACAAGCAACTGAGTCAACTCTCCTACCTTGCTGTCCTTGTACTTGTTTTCCATGCGTTCTGAGCACTCCTCATCGGTTATGATCTCGCCTGTGTATTCCATGATGATTTGGTTAGGCTCGAAGCATCTGTTGGCGCGGATGCCATAGCCACGGTCAGATGTCTTGATAACCTCAACACCGACGCGGTACTTGCCGCCGCCTGACTTTCTCTCTTGGAGATCGGCGAACGCGCGGTTTGTGCAGTGCTCCCTGCCCACGTTGCAGTTCTTATCGTCGCACTCGTATAGCATGATTCTGTTCTGGCAGTCCTCACCACACCCGTCTTCGGGCTTGCAAACGCACTTGGACTGGTCGACGAAGTGCGGCGTCTTCTTCCACAAGGAGTGCGACTCTCCAATGAATCGATCTACAGCAGTGTTAGCAAAGAACTGGGGGCAGGCGCGTTGGGGATCGAACTCTTGGTAAGCTTCCGGAATTCGTCAGGTTTTGGCTGGCCTGGCGGCAGAGGATTGCAGACGTCGTAGGGCAGCTTGAAGTCGCGGCCACTGAGAAGCAGGCGCAGGCCGTTAAACATGGGCAGCGGCAGAACCTTGTTGGGGCGGCCGTAGTCCTTCAGCTCCGGAGTCTGCGCAAGTTTCTTCTGCTCGGCCGCGCTGAGACCCTTGGTCAGGTCCGAAGGGGTCGCTTGGCCAGCATACAGTCCGCGATCGAGGTATTTCTTGGTTCGCTTTGTCTTCTTGGGCTCAGGCTCGGCGGCTTGCTCGGGTTTCTCCTCCGGTTCCTCTTTCTTGGTCTCCAGCGGCTCAGACCTGGCCTTCTTGGGCGGCGGTGCAGGGATGTTGCCGTTTTCGTCGAGAATCACGAGCTTTCCGTTAGACCAGACTGTTCTTATGACGGGCTTGTCGTCGATGCCGGCGAATTCCTTCGTATCCTGAAGGCGGAGCAGCTCACGGGGGACTCTGGCCATGCTCTTCTCGAATGTCTTGCGACTCCGCTTACCAAGGTTGGAGACCTTGGTCGCGAAGTTTTCGACGGGGGTGCCGATCAGACGCGCCGTATGGCGGGTGATGCGGGAGGTCTCTGCCTTCTGCGTCTTGTTCTTCTTCGGGCGCGGCGTCTTGAGGTCTCCAACGGACCATTGAAGGTCCAACGCGTCAATGCCGTCGCGAACGAGATTGCCAGCAACACGCGCCACATCGTCGGCGTTTGGGTCGCCATTTGCAAATGTCTCTCCAAAAATGGTCCTGCGTCGGTCTGCAACATCGTCACCCTTGGCGCGTCGTTTTCCGCGGTTTGCCGTGCCGCTCAGCTGTGACAGATTGTATGTCTGCTTTCCGGAACATGATCGGCGGGGGCGCGCTTCGGATTGAGGCTCCGAGGGCGTTTCGGGTGCTTGGTCGGTGGTGATGGCAGCGGGGATTTCGATCTGGGCCTCAACTTGGGCTTCGATGTGGGTTTCGGTTTCGAGAATGACGGGGATGTCGTCGAGCTTAGGACCATCCGAGGCTTGGCTGGCAATATCAGAAATGCTAGTAGGGGGTGTTGAACTCGAAGACGCGATGTTGGACGAGCAATCGGTAGCGGCAGCGGACAGGCCGCTGTCGCTAGGGAAGAGAGACATATTGGGTGAAAATACCCAGTCTCGACGCGACTTTGAACTTTTGTATCGTTCGTCGAGCGTCTGAGAGTTGGTAGAGTCGAAATGCGACGCGTTCCAAGATGGGGTGTGCTTGTGTGAGGTGGGAAGAAAGTTGGGGTGAGAGGTCCAGATACGAAAAGCAGAAGGAGAGGGATTAGACCTTGGACCAGGGGTGTGGGTGGAAACCGTTCCCCCTAGGCACGCAGAATTGGCTCGTCCGCTATCCTTTTTTTTTTTAATATAGCTTACTCGCCGCGCATTGAGTGGCAATCAGGTAAGTATCCCCCAAAGAAGTTTTGGTATGGGGTACCTTTGCTGTTGTGTGCTGTAGCAATAATTCCCAGCTGAGTAGGCCGCGGACGGAGCTGAGGGGGGAAAGGGGGAGGGAAAGGAACAAGGGAACAGAAGAAAAGATAACAAAAATTAGCCCGGTAAGAAGTCAGATAAGATGCCAGGCGATGTCGCCAGGTGAAGAGCTGTTTCGGTTGCAAAAGGCGGAAGTCCGTATCTAGCTGGATTTTTATTTTTATTTTTCTGATGCTGCTGTCAATACTCACGGGTCATTTCCCAGTGATAGTGCGCGTAAGAAGGGTTAAGGTTGAGGGAGGGGTGCGAAGTGAAGAAGGCAAGGTGGGAATGCGAGAGGCTAAGTAGGTGAGATGCGCGGATGAGACAGAGACACCTACCTACCTGAGTGAGTGAATGTATGTGAGAGGCGAGGCCCTGGGAGGTTCCGTCTCGTTCGTTGTCTAGTGTCGTATCGGGTTGAGGATAGAGCGCGACGAGTGGGGACGCGACGGAATTGATTGATTTGGCGGATCAAGTCGACGTGCTTGACCCCCCCCCCCAGATGGTTGAGTGATTGCTCGCTTATTATTCCGGCCTGACTGCTCCTTGACCTCCTTGCTGGGCTTGGCTGCCTTGACCTGCTTGAACCAACTGGCTGCTCCCCTGCACTCGGTGTGTTGGCTGGAAGGGAGAGGAAGGGGAATGAGTGAGTGCAAGAGTCAAGTCTTGAAGACTGATGTTGATGAGCAGGACGGCCCAGTTTTAAGTCTACAGAGAGGACGTGTTCGAGGATGGTCGGGCACGTAATAGACGAAAAGCGCGCGCGAGATGGAGGAGGAGAGGGAGAGAGATAGAGATAGAGAGTGGAACGGGAGTGGGTAGGCAAATGGAGAGGGAAACAAGCAAAGAAGAGGAGGTGCTTGCTTCTGGGTGAGGAACGGACCGCGCTGACCTTTGTACCTTTGAGGGAAAAAGTGCCCGAGGCGGGAAGGCTTGTCTGGTGTGCTGGGCCAGTGTACGCCGCGCACCCTTTTCTAGGTTGTGTGGTTGTCTGGTCATGGCCCGGTCTCTTTGGTTCCGGTCTTCCGTGGGTTGCGGATGGGAAATGGGGAGGGGAGATGGGGATCAGGACTGTGATTGGGAATTGGGTTCGGATTGAGGCTAAGTCAATGTGGATGAGCATGATTTGGACCTCTCATCGGGCCTCGTCTCGTTCTAGGTATGGAGAGTGCCAAAAGGTAAGCATGATTGATTCTAGTATGTGTTGTGCTGCATGTATCCATCTCTCCTCTCCTCTCCTTCTCTCTCCTTTATCATCGTCCTATCCTATCCTATTCTCTCCGGGCATGCTCCTACTCTGCCCGTACATCCGGGTTGGGCACTGAATCCTTCAATCCTTTAGTTGAATAAGCCGTGACGACGTCCAGATGAGAGGAGCGATATACGACAATATGCAAATGCAGCTACTTGCCCCTCCCGTGCTGCGATCTACAAACCCCCAAACTCCCCGTGGGTCCCCGTCTCTGGAATTTCGAGATTGAGGGCTATCTGGTTGCGCTTTATGTGTCTTCTCGGACCACCTCCTGTGTTTCGTCGCTACTACTACCGGCGCTCCATCGCAGTGCTGAGCCTCGCCCCAATACATGCATGATGGTCAGCACCACCACATAACTATATCTAGCTCTTCATCTTGAACCAACCGGGGCATTTGGCATTACTTTCCAAGACAGCCTCGGTCGAACTCTGCGAGCGGGTGGCCTCTGCCTGCCAACATCCCGTGTGAATCGATCTAGGTTATCTGACTCGGATTCCGAAATCTCAACACACAATCACTTTTCGAAGCATCAGTTTAATGCCCACTCATTGCGTGATTATGAAGAATATTCCTGAAAACGGTTAGCATTAACAGTAATCAGCACATATGGACAAACATACTATGTTTGCCATGGCAGATCCTTGAGTCGTGTGTCGCACACTCGACGAACCTGTTTGGTCGAAAAAGATGACCCAGTCCAGTCAGATCCAACAATTGGTTAATAAATTCGGTGTTACCAGGTTGATGCCTTCTATCAGATTGCATTTGGTTCATTACCTCGCCTGTATAAGCCATCTCAACTCCCATGCTCTAGGATACCGCGCAGCTGTTGTACTTGACTTACGCCATATCATGGAGACTGAAACCTCCGGACTGCGTCGTCGGAGTGTCGCCCGGCTAAAAAAATCACCCACAGCTAAAGCAAAATATCAGTAAATGTAGTTCGAGATATCATAGATGTCTCCGCTTGCTGTTCTGTCAGGGTTGACAAACACATCTTGGAAGCAGCTACAGCTGTTCGAATCAATCGAGTACCGACTATAGCGGCTGAACAAACAATCTTGTTACGATCCACCACGTGTGTCTTGCTTCAATCCACTGCAGATCATGAACCTGGCTGGCCATTTGGTGCTGAAATGCTACATCGTTCCCGGTCCCTCGTCTCATCTCCTCGGCGATGCGAAACGGATCGTGAGCTGAGAGCATCGCCTCTTAATTCTGACAAGCACACCTCGAAGGCGTGACGCAAAAGTCCTAGAGTCTTCTGCATATGGCTTGTCCAACATCATCGGCCAGTGTCTTTGTCAACAAACGAGCCGGTGAAGTTGTGAAAGGTATGGGTCACGCGGCACGACTGTAGGAGGAGATAGATTCCGAGTTTCACATACGGCGGGTACATGAACACTGCGAATCCCTTTTCAAATACTGGATAGCCTTGATAAATATTAGCTGGAAGGATTACATACAGATGCATCAGCGTCCATCCGTCGGCTATCCGCCTTTGGGGTGCCAAGCCAACCGTCCAGGGTGGCCTAGCAAGCCATTGCAATACTTGAATGATCCTTGTAGTCGTCCGGTACCCTAGCTTGAAAAAAAAAGGTATTTCCGATTGAATCAAAGAGATCAATCGGCCCGGCAATCCGTCGCCGCGGGGGTGTTGGTCGTGACGATACGTGGTATCCGTTTATCAATACCATGATTCATGACGTTCGCCAGCCCAAGTCCGGCCGGAATACGATGCAGGTTGACAATGTAGGAGTACGAATGCAAGCTCTAAGGACCGCGTACGCTCCAGCGGCAGCGTCGTTACCTCGATTGCTGTCCGTTCTTCAAGGAAGTCTCCATCACGAACGATAGCCACCTGAGAGGAAACCGACGGGCGATGGAAAATGTGTCTCAGAATACTTGGCAGCTTGTAAGAAACATCAGGTGAACAACGGCGACCACAACATTAGCGAATACAATAGTTTTGATTATGATTGCTTCCTACCATCATTTTCATTTCTCTGTATAGTCCTTTCTCCCATTCTTTCCTCTCTTCTCTCTCTGCTCCAAATCGAGAAAAAAAGACTTTCGGATTACAACGCCACACACACACACACACACACACACACAGAAGAAGGGTATTATGGCATGAAAAAACAAAGGGGGGGGAACGAAACCCGAAGCCAAATCCTCCATATCCTGCCCCAAAAGAAACCCACCCAGAGGGCGGCGGCGACGAACCCAAGGCTGTCTAGAGTGATAAAGCCACAGCAAGCCGAGGCTGCCGCTTAGGGAGTAGCGGTTTTGGGCTCCTATTTGGCCTCGGCCTTGTCGTTGATGCTCAGATCGGCGACACTGGGCACCTCTGTCTTCTCGGGCACAGCGGCCGCGCTAGGGGCAACCTCCGCCGTCTTCTCCGGCTGAGGAGCGACGACAGGCTCGGCAACCTTGGTCTCAGCAACTGCGGGGTCAGCAGCCTCAGTGGCCGGAGCGGGCGCATTGGCGGGAGTGGCATCAGTGGCGGGAGTGGCAGTGGCGGGAGTGGCATCAGTGGCCGGAGCGGGCGCATTGGCGGGGGTGGCATCAGTGGTGAGAGTGGCATCAGTGGCAGGCTGCTCGACAGGGGCCGCGGGTGCAGCATCCGCAAGCTTGACGGTTTGGCCGGTAATCTTGATGCTCTCGCCGTTTCCGCCGTAGTCCTTGGGGAGTGAGTCCTTGTAGGCAGGAAGCTCGGCGGCAAGCTCATTGCCATAACCGAGAGGGTGGAACTTGGCGATAGTCTTGGGGGCAAGGAAGACCTTCATGGCCTTGAAGACCCAGCCCATGAGAGCGGGGATGTTGACAAAGTATTTGTGGACGAGGAGCTCTGGGTAGGCCATGGCGAAGATCCTGATCGTCTCCGAGGAAGCGGCCTTGACGGCAGGGTCCATGCGCAGGAAGCTAACGTTGAGGTAGTCGTGGACCTGAATCATTTGATAAGGGTCCTCACCGCCATCAGGAATGGGGGTTTGGACCTTGTCCAGGCCCAGTTTACGAACACTGAGCTCCATGAGGGCTGCGCGCCACTTGATGAACCTGTACATGTGGTTAATCGGGGTCTCAGTCTGCAAGCTGGGGAATTTTCATGTCATTAGGCAACAACTCACTCGTCGACGTTGCCAAAGGTGGCCTTCTTGTCCTTTACAGCTCCGTAGATGTTCCAGGTGATGATCATATCCTTGCCTTGAGCGTCCTTATGGGTGGTAACATAGCCGAGCTCGCCAAACTTCTTTTTATCGAAGGAGATATCATCGAGTAACTTGCCGGGGTTAGTATCACGGCGCCAGACCAGAGCCTTCTGGAGCTGGTCCGCAGCCTTGGAGACATCGTTGTCGTTGGCGCGAAGAAACTTCTGCAAAACGACGGTTGTAGGGACGTGAGTGCTATCTGAGAGCTGGACACCCCACATCTCGTTATGCTTAGCCTCACCAAGGATGCCAGGCAGCTTCTCGAAAAGAGAAGTGAGAGGAGTCTGCGTCTTTTCGACGGGTTTCTCGGTAGCAGGTTTAACCCCGGGATTGGCCTCCGTCTTTTGGTCGGCGGGAGCAGTCTGCTCGGCCTGCGGCTGCTGGGCGGCGGCGGCGACCTCAGGGGCGGCAGCATCAGCGGCGGCGGGAGCAGCGGGGGCCGATGTCGGGTCCGCAGCAGGCGTAGCGGCGGCAGTCTGAGACTCAGCAACGACAGCTGGGGCAGGTGCGGCAGCAGGAGCGGGTGCCGGGACGGCCGTATCGGTAGCCTGGGCAGACATAATGGGCCAGCAATTTGCTCAAATGAGGCGAATGAGGGAACGTGTAAGGAAGAGAAATTGTGTGTGAAAGTGACCGTGAAGGCAGAAAGGAGACGGCGTCTGAGGCTCCGAGTGACGACTTCTGCCGATCTTTTCGTTGGGAAGATGAAGGAGACAGAAAAGGGGGGGACTAAGAATAAAAAAGGTCCAGGACGAGGGCTCTTCCTCGTAACAGGCCCCTCTTGCTGTAGTGTGTGCAAGGTCGAGATAAACAGCGTGTGCGAGTCCGTGAGCGTGTATCCCGTCTTGTTGGGGTTGGTTGGGTAGGTACTTTTTCAAGCGACGTGTATAAGATGGTAAGGCAGGCAAGGCAGGTAGGTGGGTAGGTGCAATTGAAAAAGTGTGGCCAAGAGGAAGGCGCAGCCGGGCACTAAATGTAATTTAATGGACACGGGAAAGCGGCAGCAACAAACAGCGCTCATCAGACGGCGCGACAGAACAGCAACAGGGAAAGAGCAAATGAAATCCAAGGTCGGATTCCACACACCCCAGTCAGCCCGACTACACTACCGACCTAACTACCTACCTACCTTCAGTACCTACTCAGGTCCTTCCTTCCTCCAAAAGGTACTTTACGAAGGTACGGATAGACCCGACTGATCTACATAGGTACAAAAGTGAGCGGTATCTCTGTACCGTGTACAACCGCTTTTACTCTTGTGCTCCGTGCTTCGCTCCCTGGAGACTTCGAGGCACAGTACCTAGGTATCTGTAGGTAGGTACTCTGTTGGTAGGTAGGTATCTATGTACTAATTCCATCCTCCTCCGCACACACACTTGCACACACTCTCGTTATCCATCGCATGCTCCTTCCTTCCTCTGGCTCGTTGTCTGTCTATCCATCTCGATTCAGTTCGCTTCCAACCATCTCAAACTCCAACAATCTAAATGTTGAGCGGAGGACTCGCTCACAGTGTTTTGACCTGTGCAGATGGGAGAGTGGAGTGGAGGTGGACCGACCCCCTTTATTCAAAGTGATTTGCGCCCCGTTTCGATAACCGCCGGTGCTTTGGATGGGTCCTAGTCCTGACATGTTACGCCGTACACGTACAAATACTCCTTCATCAAGAGTGTTTGTTTTATTCTTCCCATCCCTAGGCAAGTACCTACCGAACGAGGCATTTATTGATTTATTTCTTCATGTTGAAAGAGATAGCGAGTCATCTCCTTGGGCGTGCGCTCCTTACGAAGCTTCCATCACACGTCACTCAGCGTCACCACGCCACAACTTGATCGATGTAAGTAACCTCGTTGTCCGTGGCCAAAATGCAGAGGGCATCGGTATTGAAACCGAAGTCGGCGAGATACTTACCTTCGTACTGTCTACTGTGCCTTACTCAACCTGGAACCCCCCCCCCCCCCTTCGCGCCTTAAGGCTAAATGCCCACGCACACAATATAGCAGCCTTAACCAGCGGCCGCATCTCATCAAACTCACCCTGCCTCACATTTTTCAACCACCGAAATGAGTTCCCAATGCTAACGTGCCCCGCCGCAATAACCAGCGTCGGGATTCTCATCAGCCAGCCGTCACATCATTCCAGGAGGGCTCCCCCCTTGTCTCTCTCTGTTCACGGACCACCACTCGTCCATGTTAGTGCAACGTTGGCCCAGACGTCACTGCTGTCAGCTCCGCGCAGTCAGCGTTCTGACTGACCCTCCCAGCCGCCAAAGAGAATAATAATACAGGTATCCGTAGGCAAAATAGGGAATAAACATGGCCCCGCCGTTGTTGGCCCGTGCCTATTTCCGCTAACAAACAATCAGAGAGGATCGGCAGTGTGCCTACACGTACGGATACTATGGTGCTGAAGCATGCCCACTTGGCCACTGAGGGTCCCATCTGCCGCACGATGCCGGGCGGTGCCGCCATGGTACCTGCAGTACATACCCACTCTGTCGCAGCATTTAACTGGACCGCCAAAGTGGCCCTGGCGTCCGTTGCTGCTGACTACGCCAGTTGCCAACTTCAACCTCACCGCAAACCCGGCTTCTGTCACCCAGACAGCCTACGCCGCATCCCACGCCGTCAGAGGCGCGCTATACCAAGTCCACGCTGATCTACGCCGCTTCTTCTGATGAGGGCCACGGGGCGCCTGGCGTCATTTGGAACAAAGAACCACTGAAACGGAACCATAAACTACCACGCCAGAGTTCTTATTGATCGGGTATGGAGAATCGCCTCGAACTTCTATCTTGCCAAAGCAACGCATCTCCAAAGCTGATTCTTTGCCTATGAAAGCAGCCCTGAAACACCGTTTCTCCTCGATTGCCACGCTGAAATAACCCAATAGACAGGCCTGTTCTTGTTCCCCGAGTCTCTCAATCAAGTCTCAGACGCATCCAAACCCCCAGATAATAGAGTCCAATAAACAACCATGTGAAGCAAATTCCCAAGAGTAGTCAAGCTCAAGCGAGGGCCCCGACGCCCAAAGGAGAAAGAAAGCAGGGCAAGTGATGCAGAGCAACATGTGTTCTTCAACCGACGAGGCCATCAACTTGTTCTAGCTGTTTTAGCTGCTTCCAATCCGTTATACTCAGCGTTACTAAACATAAGTGGGAGTCAGCGCGCGACGGATGATTGACTCCAACGTCTGATACTCGCGCATGGCCAGCTGTGACAGGGTCATTTCGTCGAAGCTGGGGCCCGCGGGGTGATTCAACTCGCGCCAGAAGAAACCAAAGTACGCGTCCGTCTCGTTGCCGACGGCGCGGGTCTGAACCTTGTCCTGGAACGACTGCGTCTCAAGAAAGCGGACAGTCTCCCCGCGAACGATGGCAATGTACCACTATCGAACGGAACAGTCAGCTTACGTTCATCGCCATGCCGGCTTTACCCCATGAATTGCCAAGTCAAAGGTAGGGACGTACCTCAATCACGTCCAAGGGGATGCCCGTCTTGGGAACCAGCACATAGAGGTGGCGCCATGCCTCGGCAAAGCGCGGCTGACCAAAGGCGCGCTGCTCCATCTCATCCATACCAACAAGGTAGGCAATGTCGTCTTTCTGAAGAGCCGAGAAGCCCTCGCAGCGCATCGCAGCGATGACGAGCCGCTTGAGCAGGCGATGAGTGAGATTGAGCTCGTCGCGCTTGTCCTGAATGCTGTTCACCAGAATTCGGACGAGATCACAGGTCGCCTTGTGGATCGCGTAGCGCTGCTGAACAGTGACATTCGCCTTCATGTGCCAAGGGAACTTGGTGAGGGTACTGATGAGACACTCAAAAGGTCGCTGAGGGCATTCCTTAGAGAAAGGGGACTGCAGAAAGTCAGCTGTGACTACACCAATATCTCGTTCAGGCGAACTTACTCGATGTGGGACCTCTACGTGCTTCACAAGCATCGTCATCTCCTCGTTGGAGACGAAGCCCTTGAAATTGTCCCAGGGCTCTTGGTCGTTGTTGGGGAGAATTTGAGGGTTAGTACCAGTCCAGAAGACACCCTTGGCAGACGGGAACAAGTCCTTCATGAGAGCGGCCTCGCTCGATAGCTCAATGTCAACCGGCCGCTGGCCGATGCGAGTCATACGACCACGGCCAATGTTCTGCTGGTACTTCTCGACAGCCTTTGAAGCATCCTCCAGGGTCTGGAACTCCACATACGCATCGGTCGTCTTGCCAGTAATGCGCTCCATGATGATATGGACAGGTTCCTCCTTGTCATTGAGAATGCGGGAGTTCCGGCCAAGGACGGCAATGATCTCGGCCCGGTTGGTAATGAATGGAATCTATCCATAAGTCTGTCAGTCTCTGTCTGTTGCTTGCGAGAATCGGATTTTAGGGGCTCAGTTACGTTTCCAATCTTAACAACGCCTCTAACCGCAAAGTGGGCAGGACGGGTGGCAGGCTCAACAAAGGGAAAGTTGGCCTCGTGCAAAGCAACTTGGGCAGCTGGAAGACCCGTAGCGCCAGCCGTAAGTCTGTTCAACTCCAACGATCGCTGAGCGCGGATGTAGTCGGGAATGGGAGCACCGTAGAGAGCAACGGGGCTCTGAGGTGGATAGCCAACCTGGTAGGGGACGAGCGCCGCGTTGTTTCCAGCGAAAGGCTGGTAGGTTCCCGCCCGTGTGCTTGCGAGAGCACTGTTGTCAACGATGTGCTGGAAAGGGATGCTCTGAGCAACAACGCCGTGAGCAGACACCCCCTGAGTGGCCAAATCCTGATTGATCATATTCTGGGCGGTATGGGCAGTCACGACAAGGCCTCCGCTACCGATATAGACTTGCGGAATCTGACTGACCTGTGCGCCGTTTTGAGTAGACTGTGCACTGCTGTCGCGAAGAATATCATCAAATTTCAGGGCCTCGCCCGTGAGAATAGGGAGCGGGACCTGTCCATTCGCCAGCAGATGGGTGGTGTCGATCTGCGAACCAAGGAACGGCTGCTGAACGGCACCTCCCTGCGAGTTAGGAACAATGAATGGGTCCTGGGCATCCACCGCAGAAATTTCGTTACCATTTCTGACGCTCTCCAAGTTGAATTTTGGAGGAGCTCCGAGTCGAGCAAGATTGGGCGTGGTACGCGGGGCGAAGTTACGAGGCTCTGTCATAAGGCAGTTGGCGTTCTGCACCTTGAATTTGTCGCTACCCGGACTGGCGATGTCGCACTTATTGGCGGCTTCGTTGCCTCCCTGACTGTACTGGAGGTCATTGTTGTTCTGGTGTGCAGTGATAAGACTATCGAGGTTACCCATGGAGGCGCTGCCACTGAGCTGGCCATAGGCAGCCATCATGGGAATGGGCTGGATCTGCTCGGGGCCAGCGGAGACAAACTGGGAATCGTTCATCGTAGACTGATTGTTGTGACTTCCGTCCTTGACTGGAACACCATGGTAAGAATTAGCGCGGTTCGAACCGTCGACGGAGATCGGTAGCTTGGGGAAAGTAGGACAGCGTATGGTCTTACCACGATCCTTGACAGCAGAAGTGTATTGGCTCTGAGGCTGTACGCCTTGTCCACGATGGTGATGGCCGCTCTGGGAAGTCGCGTTGCCAACCGGATGAGTTTTGCTGCTGATGTTGAACTGCGGAGTACCGTCAAGTTCAGCAACTTCAGAATGGTTGATCTGGATATGAGTGTCAATTTATCATGTCCTGTTTGAAAGTCTCGGCTCCTCGGATATATGTACTTTACTGGCCTCGTAATGAGCGCTATTGGCAGTAGGGATCCAAGGGGAAGATGAAGGGTTAAGAACAGAGGAAGTCTTCTTCTCACCCTGGCCCCGGTTCTTGTCCTTTTTCAAGTCAATGTTGTAAGGGGCAGCGTCAAGGCGGGCACCTCCAGGCTCCTTGTCATAATCGCTGTCCTCGACAACAACCTCAGGTAGATCGCTGGGTGTAAAACCACCCTGACGAACCATGTTGCGAAGCTGGTTTCGCATCTTGAGGCGATCCATCTTGTCTCTTTTCTTACCGGCGGGCTTCGAGTAGACCATGGTGAACAAAAGTTGAGGGAATGGCTGTGAGCCTTGGAAAAAAGAAAAAGTGACAAGAAAGGTGGAGGAGTGCGGAATGTGCTGGAGACAGCGGCCTACGTGAACAGGCTTGGTGACAGTAGATGTTCTGAAAGCTTGGGGTTAGTGGCAGAACCAAAACTGTGAACAGACCCAATAACAAAATCAGGTTATGGAATAAAGGGTTGCCATAACCAGGCAGAAATGAAAGTGAAGTAGGCAGGTGAAAATGAACCAGGAGAGCAAGCAGTTGTGAATTGAATGAAAGGGTAAGTTGAGAAGTTCGATGAGATACCAATGATGAGTTCAGGAAGGTGAGCCGAATAATTCTGGTGCAATACGGATAACTGCCCTTTCAGAGGCGACAAGTGAATTTTAGAAAAGTCAAGGTGTAGGTGAGTGACGTAGATATGTATATCTTAGGATTGAGAGGTACTTTGATAGCCTGAAAAAATGGCAGGAAATGGAAAGGGAAGGTGCCAGCGTACTTTTCCTGCCTACTTAGTGGAGCAAGAATTTGTGCCTTGTCTGTGTCAAGACTAATGACGAGAACGGCAACAGCTATCCTGCAATGTGAGTGGGCACGCTTAGAAAAAGAAAGAAAAAAAACAAGATCAAGGAGCTATCGTCATAAGGAACGAGACAATGCATAAAGAAAGAATGTAAGAAAGACTTTGATTTGCCCTCGTATAAAAACCCCTAAAAAAACCTGACAGAGTAAGAAGACGAAACATGTGTACTGAATGTCAAGACTTGGGAATTATGTTCGGAATTAAGCTGGATGCCAAGAGGGACAAGGTGGATGGACGGTGTCGGTGACAGGAGATGGCAAGACATATTAATGACTACCGGACTAGGCATGTCTGGGAAGCCGGAAGCCAGCGTAGGCAGTGAGAATGAGTTTATAAAATGAAGCAAGGAAGCCATCTGGTTCTAGGACCGAGTCACATGTCATATCATTTAATCGAGATAATGAATATTTCTCTTCTTTTATAGAAATCAAATTTTCTTAGCTCTACATGATGAAGCGAACTTCAACTACGGGGCGAATGGGCAACAAGGGATTCATGGAAAGAGATGCTCTGCGACATAACAAATACAGCAGAGAAACAGAGAGCGCCTATAATTGTGGCTGATATATTGAGGGTTCACTCATTCACAGAAGAGTTGCAGTCCATTCCATGACCGAGGGATGACCCCTAGATTGGCATATTGATTCGAGGCAATGCCAGTGTTGTAAGTGTGCTAAGCACAGCAAAGCGCATGCCAAGTGAGATTCGTGATGATATCTGAATTTTGTCGAAAGTATGAGGTTCCATGTTGTCGTTCCCACCCAGCCCCGGATTTGCGGACCACTATCAAATTCGGAACCGTTGTGGATCCCGGCATTCCGGCTGCGCTCGAGCCAACATCGAACTCCAGTTCATGATCTAGGCCCAGTACTTCAACGTGACCGAGCATCTAGGTCAACCCACTTACAAGAACTCGTCCTTGAAGTGCTCAAATTCGACCTCCTAGCTTATATAACGCTTGCTGTTGGGTATTTTAATCGAACTATAGAGGTGGTTAATGACCTAAAGACGACGCAGCTTGGCAGGAAGCACTTACTGGAGTCAGGAAAGATTCAGCAACGAATCTAGCTCTGGCGTTCAACTGCAAGATGTCAGCAACAGTGCTGGTACCTCCAGAGGGTTCAGGGGCACGCACAAAGAGCTTCATCTCTGAAATCTCCTTATCAACCTCTTCCATGAACTGAATGATGAAGTCTACCAGCTTGTGCTTCAACATCTCCTCCGTATGAAAGTTGGTAATCAGGAAAGAAATATCATATCCCTAGCAAGCCTAGTTAGCGACTTGGTTCCATGTGTAGAAGCCGTGCGTGTGGCGTGGCATTGCTCTTTCCGCAAGCTCGGCCAGGGAGCATTCGGGTATCCCACATACCTTGATGGGCTTCCTCCGCAGGATGAAGAAAGACTCGGCTCGCTGTGTCAGGAACCGGGTGAACTTGTGGACCAGGATGTGCTCGATCTCGTCGGCCTGCTTGATCTTGATGGATATGCGCACGGAATTGATGCTCGGCTCGATCAGGACTCGCTCGTTCTCGTTTCGGGCAATGGTCAAGGGGGTCAGAAGAACCTCAGGGGAAGTCTGCGCCTCGATCTCTGGGACATTGTGTCGTTCGGCGGTTTGGGAAGCGAAGTTGGAAAGAGTCAGGGCGGCCGTCAGACTGCTCCGAACGGCCTGAAGGTAGGGTCGAAGGGACTGAGACTGTGTTGGTAAAGTTAGCACATAAAACCCGAATGCAATTGTGAATGATGTACTGACCATGATGGCAGGACGTGGCCGCGTCCAACCTTTGAAATGCTGAGAGGTTAGAGTTGGGTGTTGGTCGCGGGGTTCGACAGGTCGGCTCAGCAGGAAGCCTGACGTTTCGTAGTGGGGCGGATAGCACCGCCGCAGCTCCACTTCGTGCGTAGCTGTCACCGTTCCTTGCTGAATCAGCTGTACCTGATAGCTATCTCACGTGACTCACAGGTAAGCTTCCAAGTGGCGATACCCCGCCTGTACCCTATATATGCATATCTCCGTCGGCTCTCCCTGAGGGCTTAGATCGATGACTAATCGGTTCTTCTAAGCTAGAAGCACGGTGGGGCGCTTGGAAGCTATCAGATACAGTCAGAAAGTGAAGTATTTAAGTGAGGAAAGTTGCGTTGATGACCAAGACGCTCCTCCTTTCGAAAGCTTGGAAGATTGTCGAAGGGGTAGCAGATGCAGCAAGAGGAACAGGGGCAAGGGGATATCGCAATAAGCGAATCGGCAGCTGAAACGGACCTGCAGGTACACCGCTTCCCCGCTAACAATCTGTGTGCTGCCTTGTACTACTACTGCCCACCCGCAAAGATATCTGTACTGACGCAAACCGCTTGGTGCCTTCAACAAACTTCTTCTTGACCTTGTCTTGCACTTGGTCTTTTGTTCATTAAACTGCACACATCGTTCCTCCCTGCAACAAGTTCGATAGCATTGCAACAACACGATGGCATCAATACCAGGTGAGCAACTTCAACAAGTCATCGGATTTTCAACTATTTCCTGACTTTAGCGGCAGTCAACGTTAGCCATCAAGGCACCAAGTACCAGGTCGAAATCGACACTTCCTCCAACGGCGAAACCTTCAAGTACCAACTCTACAGCTTGACGGGTGTCGAGCCTGAGCGACAGAAGATCCTCGTTAAAGGCAAGCAGGTCAAGGACGATGATGAAATGTCCAAGTTTGGCCTCAAGGCCGGCGCCACACTCATGATGATGGGCAAGCCATCCGGAGAGAACGCAGATCTCGCCCGCCCCAAGGAAGCGATCAAGTTCGTCGAGGACATGACCGAAGCAGAAGCTGCCCAGCAAGAGGGTGCCACCCCCGCCGGTCTCACTAACCTAGGCAACACCTGTTACCTCAATTCGACCCTCCAAACCCTTCGATCGATCCCCGAGCTCCAAGGTGCTCTCACCACATACAAGTCAGGCAGTGGCGGTGCCGGCAGCAGTTTCGGTCTTACCTCGACTGATATTGCCACCCAGCTCACGGATCTGTACAAGAATATGTCGGAGACCCAGGGCAGCATACCCCCGATCACCTTCTTGAGCACTCTACGCATGGTCTACCCACAGTTTGCCGAGAAGTCCAAGACTGGAGCTGGATACGCCCAGCAAGATGCCGAGGAGGCTTGGTCTCAGATTATCTCTCAGTTGAAGCAGAAACTTTCCGAGTCGGAAGGCTCCTCTTTTATCGATAGATATATGTCTGGAGAGCTCCAGTCCACACTCGAGGTTGACGAGCAAGCCGCTAGAGACGGCGGCGAGGAACCGGTCAAGTCAAGCGAGACCTTCCTCAAGCTCAACTGCCATATTGACGCATCCGTCAACCACCTGCGCGATGGTATCTTGGCAGCTTTGACGGAGAAGCTGGAGAAGAAGTCTGCAGTCCTTGACAGAGATACGACCTACACGAAGAAGTCCCTCATCTCACGGCTTCCCAAATACCTCACTGTTCACTTCGTTCGGTTCTTCTGGAAGCGTGAGGTGCAGAAAAAGGCCAAGATTATGCGCAAGGTTACTTTCCCCCATGAACTTGATGTCGTTGAGTTCTGCACCGATGAGCTGAAGAGGGCTCTCGTCCCTGTGCGTGACAAGGTACGAGAAATTCGCAAGGACGAGGAGGACATTGAGCGGGCCAGGAAGAGGCGTAAGACCAATCCTGTTGACCGAGGTGACATCGCTGGAGCCTCCGGCGGCCCCGAGGGCAAGACGGCTCTGGAGAAGGCCAACGAGAAGAAGGCGGAGAGATCTGGAAAGCCCGCTGCCACGACTTCCGATGCCGACACCGAGATGACCGAGACATTCAAGACCGACGCAGAGGTCGAGGCCGAGAAGGACGCGGCCTTAATCACCGCCAAGAAGGAGCTATATGCACTGCTCAACCAGGACCTAGCCAGGGACGAAGGCGCCAACCAGTCCGGAATCTACGAGCTGCGAGGCGTCGTCACTCACCAAGGAGCGAGTGCCGACAGCGGCCACTACACTGCCTACGTCAAGAAGACTGCCCCTATCGATCCCAAGACCGGTAAGAAGGGCGAGGAGGACGGCAACTGGTGGTGGTTCAATGACGACAAGGTGTCAGAGGTTACCCCTGACAAGATCGATGCTCTGGCGGGTGGTGGCGAGTCGCACTCCGCGCTCATCTGTCTCTACCGGGCCATCCCCCTTCCGACGATTGATAATGACGGCAAGACCGAGTAAAGGTCCCAGCTGGCAAAGGCTGTTGGGAGCATCTACTTGGCGTTTTCGAGCGGTAACGAGGTTATGGGAGGCATTCAAAACAAGCCATTGAAACAAGGATAAAGCACTAGGGCATAGACAGACGAATGATGAATGTGATGGCTGCAGTTCATTACACATGCGGTAATTGCTATAACTATGATTACAATGGTGTACATCAGCTTTTGATGTGGCATTTATGATGCACCCGTGATGCAAGATGGCGGGATGTCAGATGAGGAGCTGCTAATAGCTAGCTTCATGGCAGTGTTCTAGCACACATGCCTGGGTGAGGCTTCGCTTGAACAGCGGCGGCCATTTGCACTCGCAAATCAGGTCAGCAACGTATGGAGAGTTACGGGTGTCGACAACGTCCGCTTCGTAGTCATGGATACGGCCCGACGTAACCCGAGCGGACGGATGGTCCCTTTTTCGTCAGCTCTCGGGCTTCTTCGGCTCCCTCTCCTTTATCCTCTCCTCCAAGTACGTGAGCTTCCTCTCCCAATTACGGCGTTCCGTAACCAGGCGGCCGCGCTGACCCTCAAGAAGGGAAATTTGCTCGTCGTACGGAGACTCCCAGAAGCTTTTTCTTTCCTGAGCGTGCAATGTCAACGTCTCCGAATTGAGCTTAGGAATAAAGCAAAAGGAAAATAAATAAAAATATAGACAGTGGGCGGTTATGCGACTTACCTCTTTCCATTCCTTCTGGGTCTTGAGGCCGGCGCCGTAAGTGGCGCCGGTAAATATGATGGCGGCGCAGCCCGTGGCCGTAAGGCCGGCGCGGAACTTTGTGAAGCCGCTCATTCCGCCGTGTGTGCGTGGGACAGATGTCTTTTCTTCCTCCCGCCGTAAACCAAGTTGGCTAACCAAAGGGGGTTACCAGTATTGTCTCCACAGCTCGGTCGATTCCTTCCTCCTCCTGGCTTCGATGTATTTAGCTTTCCGATCTGCTGTCGTCGGCTCGCGATGGCCGGGTTTCTCCCACCGAGAGCTTGGCGTGGGCGACAAAGATGAAGCCGAAGAAGTGGTAGAAGAAGAAGTTGTCGTCGAGTCGAGAGAATTGGCCCGCGTATGGCCCTGCAAGTTACCCAAGGATGATCGGTTATAGCAGCGTCTCCCGGTTGCCTGTGGCAAATCGCACTCGCAAGAATCGAGGTCGTAAGTGGTACTGCCGTCTGTCGTGGTCGTAGTTGCAATCGAGGTCGGCGTCGTTAGCTCTGTTACGACGGGCGAGGAAGGCCAAGGAGCAAGTTCCAGCGCAATCGCGTCTGGGCCGGAATCGGAAACGCCGTGGTAGGAGTAGTGGTTGCCCCGCTGGTGGAGAGGGAGCCCCAGGGCTCTTAGTAATCGGCCTGCCAGTGCTGGGCCTGGCATGGCGTCTTGGCCTAGAGCCATGGTTGATGTTGCGGGGTTTTCTTGTTTAAAAAAACGAGGTATTGGAGCAATAGAGCTGATGGCAATAAGAAGAGCCCGTTTCCCCATCTCCGAAATGTTGGTTGTATTTTCAATCCAAACCAGGCGTGGAAGAAAGACGGAGAAATCGGCGGATTTTTTTTGATTTTTTTTTTTTTTGCAACATTTTCCTAGTACCACCCAAGCCCCGGAGCAAGTGAGCGGGAACCCGACAGAGATAAGAAGGTAAAAAGACCCAACTGCCCTTTTCGTCTTGTCAGCAGGCTCCTCCATTCCCACCTCTTTCTGGTGCGTTCGTTGAAACAGCCTTCGTGAGAGTATCTCATCGCTCCCCTCCCCCCCTCCCCCCACTCACCCGTACTTCCTATTGCCATCACTTGCATTATATGTCTTTGCATTCATCGCCCATCTTCTTTCTGTTCTTGCTTTGCATCGAATTCAGCAACCAGGCTTTCTTGATCTTGCTCGGCATTAATTGCCGTGTAAAACAAAAAGACAACCACATCAGCTACAGCCTAAATATAAACAGGCGTGCATGGGGTTTGCGCCGACCCTCTTCCCCCTGCCCGTCTCGCAGTTCTCCTGAAACGCAATTCACGGCACGCGACTGAGGACCCCTACCTTCTCTCTCTCTCCATCTCTGGCTACTATCCGTGCACTCCCCATTTTCCTCCTTGTTTTCCGTCTACCTAATCCTGGTTTAGACTGCTTCAAACCAGACAAATGTCACAGAAGCCGATGTCAGCGGTCATACCTAGTGGACGCGAGACATGTGGGGGCAAGATCTCATCTCGTCCTCGGAGTACTCGGACCCAGCATAGAGAGATGCGATGCAGGGCAGGGGGGTGCCACAAGGCTTGTCATTTTGTGGTGCAGAGGAAGATCAGAGAAACAATGGCAGACGGGCGGGAAAAACAGAAAAGATTGCAGCACTGCCTCCCCCGCATACATAGGCTTGGCCTATATACCAAAGTACCTACCATACCGCTGGGGTGAAGGGCTAGGACCATCAGCTTCATCAGTCAAAGTTGGCTCTGGCAGCGTCAAAGTTTCGGTGCTGAACATCCATCGTCCATCTTTCCACGAGTGCGGAGCTGAGATGGAGCGGAAAGGCGGGAAGAGCGGGACAGATGACATGCACAAAGCCAAATCGCTCGTCGGAAACGTCATCCATCGTCGTCGTTGCCGTTGTCGTTATCGTCCCAACTTTCTCCCGTCCACTCACTGCCCATCATCTCACAAACTTTGCCACTATATAAAAGTGTCTCGGGCATTACCTACCTGTACATGCACATTTGTCAAGCTGGTAGCCACTGCAAGAAAAGAGAAACAAAAAGAAGGAGTGGCATAAACTAACTCGGTATTCTCGCACCCCCCAATAGATCGCCTCTCGCCCCCCCTCCCATGACCATTCCATATCCAATTTCGAAACCAGCAGACTTTGAATAGCATTGACCGCCCGGCATGACAACTCCTCGCGTCTTCATCATCCGCCACGGCGAGACGGAGTGGTCCCTCAATGGTCGCCACACCGGTAGCACCGACATCCCCCTGACGGCAAATGGCGAAAGCCGTGTGCGTGCCACCGGCCGCGCTCTCGTGGGTAGCGACCGCCTTATTGTGCCCAAGAGGATCTCTCACATGTACGTCTGTGTTCGACCCCGATAACATTCTGTGCCACACTTCGACTCCAGACTCTTCCAAATGATTTGACGGGCCACATCATTGTTCATTCTCCACTCGAGGCACGCAACCACACATGACGAACATCAGCTAACTACAAGTCAGCTACGTCTCCCCTCGCAGGCGTGCCCAGCGCACCTTTGAGCTCTTGAACCTCGGCATCAGCGACGAGCTCCCCTGGAAGTGCCATGGTGCTATCGACGGCAACGGGCCTCACTGCAACGCCCGCGTCGAGGTCACCGAGGACATCCGCGAATGGGATTATGGCGATTACGAGGGCATTACGTCCCCGGAAATTCGCCGCATCCGCAAGGAGCAGGGCCTGGGGGAAAACTGGGATATCTGGCGCGATGGCTGTCCCGGCGGAGAGTGAGTATTTCTCTAACCGGTTTCCTTTATTTTACTCTCTTTCTTCTCTTTCACCGTGCAATCTACGCGGGCGCCACTTCCATAATGCTGGCTATCGATTTGTTACTTGAGGTTCTCGGAGGGACGACAATATGCAACACAACCTCGATGACTTTGTGCATACCGACATGATAACGCCAAGAGAAGCTTATCCGGAGTTGGTTGAACCATTTAGAGAGATCGGCGCTGACACTCCTGTAGGAGTCCCCAAAACGTCACTGAACGTCTTGACCGCTTGATAGAAGACATCCGTCAAAGGTGGCACAAGCCCGTCATTGGCGACAAGGACGCGCCCAATGGTGACGTTCTCATCGTCGCCCACGGCCACATCCTCCGCGCCTTCGCCATGCGCTGGGCCGGCAAGACGCTCCAGGACGGTCCGGCATTTCTGCTCGAAGCTGGCGGTGTCGGTACTCTGAGGTGAGTTAAGCCTGCTAGAAGCTCAACCACAGCCGTCGGTCCTACGGACATTCTAGCAGCCGTTATATGCCGTGAAGTGCGAAGCGAGGCTGACGTTGTACGATACAGCTACGAACATCGCAACATTGAGGAGCCCGCGATTCTGCTGGGAGGCGCTTTCGCTGTTGATATCATCGAGAAGGAGCAGCAGGTCAAGGAGGCAAAAGAGGCACGTCTGGTACAACGGTGAAGATCCGGAATGGGAAAACCAACGCGTAATCCACTCCCACGCACGTCGGGCTGCCGGTGCGTCGTAGGCTGGTATAGTATAGTCTAGGGACCGATTCCTCGTAGAACGGCTACGTATGGCTGAAATTTTATACCTTGGTTCCCCGCGCGAGGAATACCCGCCTCTTCCTCCCCATCTCTCGCTCTCCACGACCATGCCCGTGTCCGTGTCCGTGTCCGTCATCACGCGTGTGCCCATGACCGTGTCCATCCCCTTCGCTATGCCTATGCCCCCCAAGAACGATGCCGCTCCCGAGCTCCTCCAAGGCGAAGTCCTTGCCCGCGCCGGCCTGCTCAAAAACGGCTCGCATCCTCTCCTCCGAGAAGCCGTGGTGCATGACCGTGCTAGCCGCCGGCAGCGCAGCATCCACGGCCCAGTGCGGCAGAAAATCGAGGATGAAGAACACGCCGCCGTGTCGCAGCCGCTCAACGATGCGGCGCGCCGAGAGCTCCGGGTCCGAGAAGTGGTGGAACCCGAGGCCGACGCCGGCCACGTCGAAGTCGCGGAACCGGCCATTCGGGTCGAAAGAGGCGGAGAAAGCCGCCGGGTCCGGATCGGACGGGTCCGTGAGGTCGCCTTGGTAAGCGTGCATCTCGTCGGTGCGCAGGCCCTGGGTTGCACGAGGAACAAATGGTGTCAGTCAGCCGAGCTTTCCGTGCGTGACCCCCCCTCACCCCTCACCCCTTGTCCCTTTTTCTTCCATTCCCAAACTTGCGCAGAGTTTCCTCTGGGGTTTGGCCACCTGATGCCTTACCGTGCGCGCCGTGGCCCCGTCGGCCAAGGCCGAGAAGGAGGGGAGGTGGGAGGGGGTCCGGGACCGAGCCAGCATGTTAGATGAGATGAGATGGTGAGATGGCGGGGAGGCGCGAAGAAGTTTGTCCGCATCATTCTCGAGGCGCGGGGGAGGGACAAGGTCAGCAGGGCTGAGATGAGACCAACGTGAGGTGTGAGGAGTAGATTTCAGACGGTCAGACTTCTGAACCGCAACACCCCCTTTCCCACGCTGTCGCCACCCCCCACCAATTGTCTGTGCAAATGGCCTGCTCTCGCTCATGTTTCTGGGGGTGAATTCCTTCACCGCTCAGATTCATGGACAGAGTTGAAATAATGGTGATGATCTCTACCACATAGGGCCTCCCCATCTTTTCCTCTTCTTCTCCCTCTTCTCCTTTTCTCCCCCTCTCGAGTTCGTATGCGTGTGCAAGTGTGTGTGCTTGTGTGTGGATATTGCGCGTACAGATCAAAGAGGAAGAAGCAAAACGGGCTGATTAGAGAGGCATTCCATTGCGGTTGCTCACCTGGTTCTCGGCCCGGGCGTTGTAAACTGCCACCATGTTCTCCGAGATATCAATGCCAACACAATGCGTCGTGAACTGCGAAAGGGCCTGTGTCCATCATAGTTTGTCAGTCACAGATACCATCTGCCTTTCACCTCTCTGTCATGCACTGCGTTGTGTACACTGATGGGGGAAGCGGAGGATAGGAAGAATTGATGGCAACCACAAATAGCGAATCGCGTAGTCGTACAAAAACGCATGTTAGGATTACACGGCGTGTGAAACAGGCAAACATACAAACAAATGACCAAAGGACTTCAGCTTTGGAAGGCCTTGAATGGACAACACCCGTCCGCAGAAAAGAGAAGAAAAAGGAGAGAAAAAGCAAAAAAGAAACAAATATCAGCGGCCCGAAAAGACATTTCCTTTCTTGTAGGGAGAATAATCCGGAAAACAAAACCATGGAAAGAGCTCACCCGCGATATCAGGCCAGTTCCACAGGCGTAGTCGAGTAGTCTCACACGCTTGCCGTCCGACGCCGGCAGTTGTGCAGCTTCGTCCTCACTGCCGCCTTCGCCACCATCGTCCTCGTCGACAACCCAGTCGGCGCCAATAAAGTCCTTGCGCTTGCGAATCTCCCTCTCGAGCTGCAACATTGTTTTTTCATATCTGGCGTCGTACTCGGCAGCGAGTTTGCTGGATAATGCCCATGTCAGCGCAGCCTTTTGTCATTATCCCTTGTGTTGATTTTATATCTCAAACTTTTATAAGGGGGGGGGGGGGGGGTTGTTCTTGATATTTTTCTTCCTCTTCATTCTGGCCGATGGCTTTATACCATTGGCCTACACCAGCCGGAATCAGTAAAATATGCACTGAAGGCGTATTCGCGTTCCACCTGTACGCCTCTATCTCGCCTGACCGCATCTCTCAAAGTCAAGAACGAGTCCATCAAAGTACTTGTACATTGACGATAAGCGATGGGGGTTCCGAGTTGGTCTGCAGGGACCCGGGGAACAGAAAGCGAACAAACCGGATGTAACTCAACTTGGGTTGAGTAGTCATGAAACCCCCCTGCCCCTTTCGTGGATGGATGGATAATATGTGGGTGTGTGTGTTTACGCACTTGAAATAGGCCTTGTTGGCGCTGGCCGTGTCGGTATCAGCCATAGTGGTGTGTTATGTCTTGCCGAACTTATGAATCGGTAATGAGTGGAGCGAGGCACCTCGGCCTCCTGGAAAAGAACAAATTCTGATTCTCGTTGAGGACTCGTTATCCTGTCTCTGCCCCTCTAGCGTTCAGTTCAACCCTTGAGTCTTTTCTTCTTCAGATATCCTCGCCATTGGATTGGACGAGCAAAATAAGAAATGTTTGGGGTCCCTTGTGGGCGGGGGAAAGTGGGAAAAGAAAATAACGACACCAACAAAGAGCAAAACCATGAAAATGGATCTTACCCCGGTGTTATTTCTTCTTCTTATTTTCTAATCTTCTCCTTGGAAACTCGGGAGTTGTCGATGGCCGAGGACCCCTACCAAATACGACAGCCAGCCTTCTTTGACGTTACTTTTGTGATTGCTCACGGAGAGTTTTCGGTCACTTATTAAGGGCAGAAAATGTCCGGCCTGGAGAGACTAAAAGCTCGGCGATCAGAAAGATAGAGCAAGAGAGAGGAAATTAGGTTCGCATCTGATATTCCGGGCTTGTTCCCCTAACGAAATAAACGGGGACTCACACGGTCCGGGAGCGGGGGTACAATCGGTTCCAGGTCACACATGAGAAATCACGTGAGCATTACTGTCTGAGACCGATGAGCTGTTTTTCGCGTGGCGCATGTCGGGGGCTGTGCGGTGTGGGTTTCCCCGTCCAGTTCGGGCAGGCCGCAGGAGACCGCCGTGTCGTGGACGTGCAGCGTAAGCGAAGGAAAGATCTGTCCCGTGTACTCCGTACCAAACTCGTCAGCGCATCCTGCAGTCTGAAGGGGAAGGGGTTGCTTAGGTGGAACCAGCTTCTGTCCCCCCCCTTTCCTGTCCTTCCTTCGTCTTCCGCCTTCTTTGCCTCCACCCCCTCCCTTCTTGAGAGCCACACTGGGGCTGCCTCGATTTTGCCTGATGCTTGCGGCCATGCCATGGCGGACCCTGAACTTTCTGGCGTCTGCGTGCGTGCGTATGTGTGTGTGTGTGTGTGTGTGTGTGTGTGTGTATGCGTGTGTGTGCGTGTATGCGCGCGTGTCCCACTGAACCCGACCCCGGGTGGGATGCAAAGACGCACCCGGCGCCCAGATCAGGTTACAGCCGCGGGGCCGGCAAGAATAGGGGAGTAGATGCCGTCCGAGATCCCCACTGCAAGCGTAACAAGTTGAACGGCAGCGTCTGACACCTCACACGCACGCACGCACACATGGCCTCCGTACCCGTATAGCCGCACCGCACCCTGCCTTCCCACACGGCGAGATACAAATCGACCCGCTTGGCTGGCGCATTAAGTGAGACGGATCCAAAAGACACGGGGTGCTCGTCGACCGGTACTAGCAGCACGCTGTGGATGTACTCATGTAACCCCGAGCATCAAGATGCATGCCTGCAAGGTGATGGCCCCTCCGATGAGGATAGGGGGGGGGGGGGGAGAAAAAAGCAAAGGGAATCTCCCTCCCTGTTCCCCTCAAAGCGGAGGCATAAGAGCCGGGAGAAACGGAGGAGGAATGACGGTGTGACCGGGGCTGACGGGGGGTCCCGGACTTGGACAGATAGCTGCCGTGGACAGGTCTGGTGGTAAAAACAAGCGGATCGACGCCGATCCTGCTGCAGGCCGCATCGGTCCGCAGCTTGTGACTGCAGCGCCATGCGGGCGGTGACGGGTCCAAGCGGCCGCGGTTGGAGTTGCACGAATATTGTCGAGACGTGTTAGTGGTTCTAACTGCCCCCTCGTGTACAACCTGCCATGCAGGTGGCCCGAAAGAGGGCCATCAGACCAGCCCAGCCTGAGGTCCGAATCGGGTGGACGATGGATGATGCTCGGTTACCTGGGGACCGGGCAACGCAAAAGTTTGACCAAAGTACTGTACATGGTACATTGCCGATGGATGGCGACTGCATGGAGAGCCAGTCATTTTCTCGTCGCCCCTCTTCATGGTCTGCATCTTGCTGCAAGGTGTCGGCAACGGCGGTGGGAAAACGCAAACCCCTCATTCTTCTCTAATTGGGCGCTCGCATGGCGAGAGAAAATTCTTCGACCTTTGAGCCCAGGTTTTCTTTTTGCCGTTTCGGCTGCTTGGCTCGACATGTCGGATAGTCGTCGGCCAAGATGCAGAACATGGGAGGTATCCCTCTACTATGTAGGTACATCGGCATGGCCTGGCTAATAGCGCCCTACATAATACCTGGCCTTCGTGTCAGACTTGAATACGCCGCTACCGCCGCCGCGTGGCTTGCAGCGACCCAGGCTGTCAGATCTGACAGGTCATTTCCGGCTGGTTTGTCCGACCAACAACAACAACAACTGCTCGTATCGCACGACAGGAAAGAGTCTCGGGACACAAGCTGCATCAGCAGAAGTCGAGTTGCCCAGAGGTGTATAACCTGTTCCCTTCCCGAAGCTCATCTGCAGTCAGATAATTCTACATGCGTCAGCGAGGGCACCAAATGGACACAGGATGAGTCGAGTACGAACGGGGCCCGAGTCGTCTTCTC